GCTATAATTCGTGTGTCATTCACATTACTAGCAGTGCTCTACCTATTATATAATTACAGGAATAACATCTATTCATCCCTTCAAATTGGCAATTAATTGTGCAATTAAGTTTTAATTAAAAACTATTTAATAAGTCTTTCTAGAAGATTTTTGACAGGCAAATAACCACTGTGATTGGAAGGACTATAAGCTTTGTTGATAAGATGCAGCCCTTTTATATGCAAGGCTTAGATGTGATAGAAAACGACTTCAGAAATGTTTACATTTTCCAGCCTGTTTTCAATAAAATGCTACCATCTGAATGTGTTTGTTCTGAAAAGATTTTCCATTCTGGTACGTTGGTTGTTCTTTGTCGTCAATTAATTCTACCTACATTTCCCAGGTCTTCCTCTGGTTTCTGTGAAAAGTTTGCCGGCCATGGTGGTTTTGTCCAGGCCAGATGGAGGACTCTCCCTCAGCACACATAGTGGACTCAGCCAGCTGTTTCTTGGACCTTAACAGTAATGGTGATCTGGTGACCCAGGCTCTGGCTGACCTCGACCTGAGCGGAAATATAGAGCTTCCGGGCGGCAATGACGAAAACCAACACTCAATGACATCCTGCGACACAGCTGATCTCCTGCGTACTCCCTCCCCATGTTTGATAGAATCTGACCAGGAAGTGGGACCTGTTGAGAACGGTAACGCTGGTGTCGAGGCCACAAACGGCTCAAGTGAAGAGCCAGAAGAAAAAGAACAGGGTGAACAGGATCAGTGGTCTGCTCTCTCTACAATTCATAAAGACAAGAGTCAAGGGTTCAATATGCAGATGAACGATGGAATTCAGTCCATGACAGACATTCCTGCCACGTCTACTCCAAAGAAACAGAAGCAGAATGGGCACAACCGGACCTCAGAGGGTACTGAGATACTGGAGGGGAGATACCAAGGAAGCGCATACCACAGAGACGGCACAAGAATAGGTTGGTATAACCTTTTTCCTAAAAAATAAAAGGATAGATTTTGTCATGCAAAGTAAAAAGAATTTACCCAGTGCTCCCTTTTGTGTCTCCAGATGTGCAGTGTGATGTGTGCAGGACTGACCTCCCTGATGGGGGCTCTGTGTTCTGTGTGTGGATGAGCAGGCAGGGGGCACTGTCCCAATCCAAGAATTCCACACACAACCTGCTAGAAGCAAGTCTTGGAGAGGTCAGTGCTAGAAAAGGTCTTACTGCCAGGTGATACTGCCAATCAATAATAAATATATAATCATGTTCCTATTTGATTTTTTTTTTGTCCTTTAAAGAGGATTGGTGAGGCCAGTTATGGGGATGCCCTGCGCTCCACTCTGGACCTGGACCAGTCCCGGGCCTGTGACGGGCAGTTTGAAGAAGAGTACCAGCCTCTTCAAGCTGTGGGGAAAGGAGCCTTTGGTTTTGTCTGGAAGGCTTTAAGACGCAGTGATGGACAAGAAGTGAGAGAGAAAAACTTTAGCGCAGAAAAAGTTTGCCATGCACTTGTATCTAATATGTAGCAATTTCTAAGTAGAAATAATTTAAATCAATTTAATGAATACAAAACAAAGTGAACATTAGATTTTTGTGAAAACCTGACTGTTGTAGTGATGTGTGTTTTATTGTGATGTGTGTTTTGTGAATTTGCAGGTGGTGGTGAAGTTCATCAACAAGGCCAGGGTAGTGAGCGACTGCTGGGTGGATGACCCCATGCTGGGACGTGTCAGCCAGGAGATTGCCTTACTGACACGAGTACAGCACCACAACATAGTCAAGGTATCACATCAGAACCTTTAGGGGCACGTACATCTTAATTCATCATGCTGAATTCTTATACACGTTCTTTATTGCTTGTGTGCATGTGACTAGGTGCTGGAGGTGTTCGAGAACGGGAGTTACTTCCAGATGGTGATGGAGAAACATGGAGAAGGTTTGGACCTATTCGAATTCATAGACCTGCAGCCGAGGCTGGACGAGCCTCTTGCCAGCTACATCTTCAGACAGGTATGAGCTTAGAAAAGAAAACAATAAAACAGTAGTGTTTGGTTTATTCTTTGCTAAATCCCAGCTCCTGTCTCTTCTCAGCTGGTGGCCGCTGTCTTCTACCTGAGGGCTAAGAACATCCTCCACAGGGACATAAAAGATGAGAACATCATCATCGACAAGTGTTTCCACATCCGCCTAATAGACTTTGGCTCTGCTGCCATGTTGGCTCCGGGAAGCTCTTTTACAATTTCTGTGGCACACTGGAGTACTGCTCCCCAGAGGTGCTTCAGGGAAATCCGTACGTACATAACCCCTCGAAATGAAAAGATGCATTCATTCCTTTTGGTCAAGCAACAAGACATCTTATTATTTCTTTCTTACAAATGCTTTAAGTTGATGTGTAGTTAAACAATGTATGTCTTTAAATGGTTTGATCATTGAAAAGATAGAAAATCCCTTTAACTGACTTAATTTACTGATAAATAAAATGCTGAAAATGACCGTATTGTTATATTGATTGCATTTTATTTTCTTGATTTGTTTTTCTGTAGGTATGAGGGTCCAGAGCTGGAGATGTGGTCTCTTGGTGTACTGCTCTACACTGCTGTTCAGTGAGAACCCTTTCTGTGGTGTGGAGGAGATCCTGGAAGCCAAACTAAAGCCCCCATTCCCCCTCTCTACAGGTACGCTGCTGCAGTTTCCTATATTTGTCACACACAAAAAAATCTACCATTACACTCTCTAGAAACATGTTTTTACAACTCAGAGCTGAAAAGCCTCTTTTATCCATCACAGACCTGCACGGTGTGTTATGTGGGCTGCTGCACCCTGATGCTGCTCAGAGAATGACTCTGGACCAGCTGCTGCTGCAGACCTGGATCAGCCAGCCCATTTCCTTGGCAGAGTACAGCTGGACAGAGGTGGTCCCTTCCACTCAGAGCTACTGTAAGTACAGTTAGACAGTATTGTTAGACATAAACTGTCAAGCCTTTGTCTTTAACTTCAGATATGATGAGGTTTCACTTGTGATAAATACCTCTTTCTGTGAACATTTCCTTTATTAATGCCTTTGATGTAGAAAGAACTTGGCCTGATTTGTTTAATTTAAGAGATTTCATGTACATCTTACTAATTTGTGGATGTTTTATAAACATGCACTTTTCTTTGTTTATATCCCTTAAAAAATCATTTTAATCTGAACTGTTAACTCTGCATATGAAGTAGACAACAGAGTAGAAATCAAAACAAGATCCTCTTATTCTGACAGGCCTGCCACAGCAACAGGAGTCAAAACCCCAAATGTATGTCACTCAAAACTTCTTCTCAGATCAACATGATGAGACTCTTCCTGATGATGATGATGAAGATGACATGGCAATGTTGGCCCTGGAAACAGAGCTTCAGAAGTACCTCTGTGAGGACTAAAGGCTTTATTAAAATGAAGTGGAGCCCAATGTCCGTCCAAGATGAAGCCTCGGGGAGTGCGACAGGATATGAAGTGTAAAGGGAAGCTTGTCTTAGAAAGGCCTGAATTTCATCCTACTCCTTGTAAACCAAACTCTTTGAGAGACGGATGGACGTTTACCTTTATGAAGACTTAACAGTTTGTTAGTAGGTGAGCGCTGCTGGTCAAAATTAGCCTGTTGATATGTAGGATTGGTACATAGAAAAGCAACAGAATCATCATGACCTGCAGTAATTCCTTTTAATTCATTTATATTTAATTTATTCTTTGGATTGGGGGAAAACTTGAGGTTTTAAAACTACAGTAATTGTTTATTTGTAACCAGCTTTGCCAATAAAACCTACAACTGACCGAAACTGAAGTTGCTCCCCTCGATGGAACAACACGGAGAAATCAGTTTGAATGAAGTTAGAGGATTTGTTTTACTGATGCAACTTTTGTTTAAATGTGTTTCATGTGAAATAATTTTAATCTTGAAATTTTTAAATTTAAATTGTAAGTATATTTACAATATTTTATCTATTTTATACGTTAATAAATATTTTACGTCAGTGTCTTTTTATATTCTTTAAGGAGTAATAAGGAGGAATATTCTGTTTAATAGAAATATATGAAGTTTTCTTTTTTCAAACTGTCATGTTAATGTTGTAAGATAACTTGATACTTCCTCAGTAAACAGAAAATCCTTCAATTAGGGTGCAGTTTGTTTCTTTTTCCTTTGTTACATTGTTTCTTAATGATGGTGTTTCAAATATTTAAATCACCAACTGATTGTAAATACAGCTGATTTTAAAAAAAACTCTAGAATCTAAAATGTTTATCTTTTGTTATTAATCTTTAAAAATTGGTGATTTTAAATTCTGTTAAGTAAACTTGAATTATAAAACATACAATACTTTTACAAAATGAATTGGTGTTGAAAAGACATTAAAGAGGGGGCTGATTTATAGGTGTAGAATATGCATTGTCTTTAGTTTACATATCGATTTAAAATGTGAATTTGTCTAAATTTTACAATTCACTGATTTCAGAAAGTGTTGGCTTTGGCTTAATCACAAAAAATAACCCACAGATCAACCCATTGGTCAGCTTTTATAGAGCAAGCATGCTTATTTTGGGACCTTTTTTTGTACTTTATTGATCAGAAAATGTTCAGTCTGACATGCCAATTTACAAAAGGAACTAAGTATATATTTAATCAATTCCATTGACAGACTTATTTAAAATGTTCTGAATAAATTGATGGTAAATAAATATTTGTTGGTAACTAATACAAAAAAAGTATTCTTAATCAATTAGAAACAGTGAGTTGATCTAAAAACGTTGGCCTTTTGAATATGAAATTATTAATAATAAAATAAAAAGGTTGACATTAGAGAACAGTTTTTATTCATTACATGCAAAATAGGTAAAAACTTTTTTAGCTAGTAATTCCGTGTGTTGATTTTGGGGCCCAATATTAAAACTTTTTTTAAATCTTAATTTTTTCAAAACTATAAATTTCCATCTGAAGAGAAATCCTTCAAAATGTCTGGTTTTCAAACTTCCCTTTGAGCCGTCTACATGCAAGCGGAACCTGTGTCCTCTTCTCACTGTTTTTACGTTCAGAGTCGGAAACATTTGTACGTCGGACAAGCATGGGTACCGGAGTAGCTGCATGTCAGGTAAATCAGAATTCTAAAAAAAAGTGACGACATCGACGCGTTTTTCTTAATATAATTAATTCCATTTAAAACGTTAAATCTGATAAGGCACGTATTTTAAAATAAACGTGTCAGGCACGACTAACAGCGCCGACAGTCTCACTGTAACCTTCATGTTTGTTTTCAGCTAATGATACCGTGGCTGCTTTATACTTGCAGTCTAAGCTTTAGAGGCATATATTTTTGCATCATTTCCTCTCTCTCGTTGTTCTATGACGGCGACTTGTCTGATTGATAACCATAATTCAACAACAAGAATTACACAGAGACCAAACTTCTGTTGTAGTTTTCTAACCATGGTTTCTATCCGCAGGTTTTGTTGCGGTGTCTGAGACGAGCCCCCTCATCTGTACTCAGTCCTCCTCAGTTTGGATCATGCCATCTCCATCTGCCTCTGTGCATCCGCTGCAGACTGTTGTGTTCCTCCAGCAGCAGTCAGAGCACTGCCCAGTCAACACAAAGCAACCGCAGTGAACTGACACCTTTATCCAGGCAGACAGTCCCAGAGCTGTCCCTTCAGTCTTTGCTTGATATGGGTTTCACAGACCTTCAGGCAGAGCAGATCAGTGATTCTGTGTCCAAACTCAGAGGAACAAGTGCTGCCAGACATGCTCTGTCAACTCTCACAGCTCTGTTTGTTTTGGGCCTCAATCCTTCCAGTGTGCTTAAACTGCTGGAGAAATGTCCTGACCTCTACACTTTCAAGGAGTCCATGCTTCAGCAGCGTGTAGGCAACCTGCGAAAACTAGGTTTAGGTGAAGGTGAGAAGTACTTCATTAATGCTCTGAGTCCAAATAACAATGGAATTGACTGGTTTCTAATTGTTACTTCCTTATACCCCCCCTTTAGGCAGTCTTCAGAGAGTGGTGGCCTATTGCCCTGATATCCTCACTGTGCCGGTGAAGACCATAAAGCATGTGGTGGTGTTCCTCAGAGAGAAGTGCCTGTTTACCGTCCAGCAGGTCACTGACATCCTCAGAGAAAGTCCGGCTGTAGTTCTGGAAAACAGGAGTCAGCTGGAGTACAAGTTCCAGGTCAGTATGTTAGCTAAAGAATGAGATTTATTATTGGGCTCACCAATGAGACATACAGAGACTTGCTCACTATTGATCAATAATTAATGATCACCCTGATTTTTTTTCAAGGTTTGACAGACAATTTAATAGGATGACTAAACAGTAAATCAAATTCATTAATCATTAGTTAAAGGCCTATTTAAATGAAATATTTTGTTGACAGTGTGTGGCGACAGTTCCCATAGTGACGTTCTAATCTCAGTGTTACTGCAGATTTATTGACTTCCTCAAAACTTGATCAAACATTGTAACCAAGACTGTCTAGTTGTAAGACCACGCCCATTCAGAAGGATTGCTATTATTCACATATGCATACATACACTTTTTTTTTTTTTTTAACTCAAGCCAGACTCTTAAAGCATACATTGTTTCTTGTTTTTGGAAAATGTATAATGTTTTTTCAAATAGTTCAAGACTTGCTTTGGCAGTTACTTATTCATTCTTTCCTGAAAAAGTTTGCTTTTTATTCTGGAGCAGTATTACAACCATCACAAGATGTGGTCGATTTTTTTTTTCACCATCTTTTGAGCAGCTGAGTCCATTTCCTTACATCACAGGACAGTGGTTTTCATCAACAGCACACTCAAATACATTGTTTTTTGTCTCTTTACAGTAGAAGGTTTTTTCCCCTTAGTGTAAATACTTACTCTGAACCATGTGATTTAGAAGCATGTGATAGAAACATTGCTCAAGTACTCCCTCTGGTGGCTGTCATTGAACTATGCATGCTAAATGCCAGGCTTTTCGCTACTTTAACCTAGAGGTTGTCCTTTTGATAACTAATATAATATGTAATAAAAACCTCTCCTAAGTTGCCTGTGACTCTCTCTCTCTCTCTTTAGAGATAGTTCATGGTATTTCTATAACAGGTAGAGTTTAAAGTCGATAGTTTTGTCACATTTCACATGATGATTTTCATGGTTTCTCACCGCATATTTCCATTCGTCTCTCCTCAGTACGTCTACTTTCGAATGGGCGTCAAACAGGCGGAGATGGTGAAGTCCAAGTTGTTCCGTTTCCCTCTGGATGAAGTGCGCTGTCGACACTGTTTTCTGGAGCGCAGGGGCCTGTACGAGACCCCAGACAAGAAAGGACAGACGTTGATCATCAACCCAAAACTGGAAAGCGTCCTTAACGTTGACGAAGACACCTTCCTCTCTGACGTTGCCATGGCATCAACGGAGGAGTATGAGGTGTTTAAGAGACTGATGGCGAGAGAATGTCTTGAAGAGGAGCGGCAGGTTGACGCTGAAAGTGATGACGACAAAGAGGAGGAGGAGGAGGAGGATGATGATGAAGATGAGGAGGTTGAGGGAAAAAGTGCATACAGGAAAAGAAGAAAAAGATGACATTTGGTGGAGGGACAGAGGGACCCTAAGATACTTAATAAGAACATTATATATTAGAGTGTAACACATGAATGAATAAAATATTTCAATTCAACAGCTTGTTGACCAAATTTATAATTTGTTGCTTTTGCATTTTTTACAAATGACACACGGAACCATTGCTTTAAGTCTAAACTTTTTGTTCTCATGTACATTTTTTCTACACAGCAAAATAGTTTTTGGACTTCTAGTCAGTGAATTGAGGCTTGATAGTCAAAGTATAGAAATGTATCTACATGGTTTTGAAATGAGCTCTACTAATCCTTCATTCAAGACATCCTGGGTGGAAATCATTGAAAGTGCAATAGTGTGCATGACGCTAGGAGGATAAAAGCTCCACCCCGTTACTATGTGACTGTGAAGTGGCTGTCTCCTTCCCTTTTTTTTTTATCTGTCTTGAGTCAACAAAAAGGGCATCACGATAAGGCCGGCACGTTGACGAGATGTGCAAAACAGCCATTGATTTATAAAAGCGTAAAGCCTAATGGATGTGAAACACAGAGAGCTTACTCTGTTCTGGACACCAGGTAAGAAAACTAACCTTTAATCAATCAATAAATAGTCAATAAGAGCATTAGCACTATCAGAAGCAAGTGATTTTCTGTATCTATCACAAGTGTTTAACTAATTCTAAGCTATAGTTGCATAGTTATGTTTAATTTACCTCAAAATGCTCAACTAAATGTGTTGGCAAATCTATAGATTTTAAAACTTAAATAAACATTCAACCTGCAGCGAAGGGCAGTTGTAATGTGCGTGAGGTTATATTTGATAAAAATATTGTATAATGTTTCTCACATTGAGTTAACTATTAACAACAAAACTTATTCATTTGCATTTTGTATTTGTTTGCTCAATAAAACCTCAAGGGGCAGAGTGCATGTTTGAACACATGCAAACTGCACTTTTTAATATTAAATAACTTACTTATTACAAGTTGAGTATATAATGTCATCGTGAACACAAAGTTATCATTTAGTCACTGCTGTCTTACTTAATGAAGAGACTAGTGTTTGCCTGTGTTATTAAATCAATGTGTTTCAGCTATTGTGTATATATTCTACTGTGAATTATTGTGCTTGCAATTTGGACTGGGGTTCACCCTAATTGTTGACAATAATATTTGTTGTTTTCACCCACAGGACGCTTCTAGAGGACGTATTCCACACACCTCAGTCTGAGCATCCCTCTCAAAGCTTGAAAAGGTAAAATGACGTCATCAGTCCTCATCTCAAACCGCACACAGGAGTTCGTGGAGTGTCTGCGCAGGTGGCACCTTGAGTTATTTTTCATCCCCACAACAGTCGTCACTCTGGCCACCTTGCTGGCCAACCCTGTTCTCCTGGCGTGCATCTTTCTGTCCCGTGCCCTGCGTCAGGAGACACGCTACCTGCTGGTGGCCAACACTCTCACGGCCGACATGCTCTTCCTCGTGCTTAACCTTTCCACAGTGATTTGTAACGCTGTGAGGGCCCAGATTCCGTGGCTGCTCTGTGAGGTCATCACAGCATTCACCGTCACCGCCTACTGCTGCGCCATCCTTACCGTCACGTTCATGGTGGTCGACACCTTTGCTGCGGTTCGCTGGCCTCTCCATTACCATGACATTCTCCCACCTGCACGCACCCACCGCATTCTGGTGGGGTTGTGGGTGGTAGCAGCCATTTATCCTTTCACCCTGGTGATACTGATGGTGGATGAAAGAGGAAATCCACATGGCGATGTGTCTGTGTGTCTGGCCGTCATCTCCCTTGGCTTCATTCTGATCAAGGACACAATGTGGATCCACATCTACTTCTTTGTAGCTGCTTTTCTCTGCACCGTACTCATTTTGTACTGCTACATCCGACTCTACATGGTCACAAGGACTCAGGGAATCTGGCATAGTCGATTCTCCAGGGCCCGGGTCACGCTCCTTGCTCATGGACTTCTTCTTCTGCTGTACTTTGCCCCTGGCTTTGTTTTCACCATGGAGCTCCTCCTCGTCCACAGGGAAGATATAAGTCAAGATGTTCGTGTTTGGGTCAACACAGTCAATATGTGTGTGTTCATGCTGCTGCCCAGAGCGTTTGCTCCGTACCTATACGGGCTGAGGTACAGGGAGATCTCTGACACTCTGATGCAACTGCTGCAGCAGCACAGGAGACTCAGCCAGGTCACAGTTTCATCAAGACACTAGTGAATTCTCCATTATCCCTATTTATTTAATTTTTCCAACTGAAGATGGATGGAAGATAGCCCATAAGATCATGTTTCAGAACACAACACTAGGCTGATTCTGATTATTTTGTAGAAGCCAAGGGGGGCGTGACAATCACTCTTCCAATTTCAGCCCTGTAAGGTTTAGAATTTAAATATGTTTAAGGTTGCACGCTTTTAATACTGGAAGAGAATAAGGTTGTTTATTTTAAGGAAGTTAAACATTTTATCTAGTTTTGACTCTCCTCAGTCTGCTAATGATAATTAAACTGGGTTTAAACTTTGATAAAATAAGCATGTCTTTACTTGAGAACAGACATAACTGAAAAGTGGGCTTAATGGTTTCTTGTAAATTATAATTCATGATGACAAACGACAAAACATTAGCTCTGTAAGGATGCATCAGTAGCTTCAAAACAATATTTTTTTAAGTCCTTTGTTTTTCATATCCACATTTGTAATGGATTACTAAAGGGCTATGTTGAGGTTTGTTAAAAAGTCTGATATGGGATTTTAAAAAGAGCTATGAGCTGCATATCAAAAAAGTCCGGTCTGCACAAGGCAAGCTTGCAATTCAAGAAGTGAATCTGTTTTGTGTAATGTGTAATCATAGAACACTCATTTCTCATCAGCTCACTTAACTCCCTAAATTCCCAAAAACAACACTGAGTACAAACCTCTGTTTCCTCACCCATATGATGTTTGCTTCATCTCCTCTACTACTTTTTCGTTCTTGTTTGAGATAATGTGTATCATGTCTACAGTGAAAAGTAGATTTGTAATTCAACGCAATCGGCAACTGGAGTGTCTGCTCTTGTGTGTTTTCAAAAGAACTCCATTATCGTAGTTGGTGCTGAGCATGATTCATAGATTAGTGTGTGATGTATTCATGGGTCAATCCAAAGGAGATCATTTTGGGCTCTTTTACTACTTTTCTGTTATGTCTCTGTGTTGAGGCCTCTTTAGAAAATGTTTCCTTGTAAATAAATTGCACAACCCAAACATGTGTTATATCTTTGTGTTCTATAAAGGCCATGCAGAACCTGACATTCAGTTTGATGGCCATGAAGCACTTAACTCTATTTGCCCTCAAAGCGGTGTTTGTCTGAAACTGGAGTTCCGAGAAGATCATTAACCAGCAGCTGAGTGAATTTTGGAGAGAAAGGACTAGAAAGGTGTGGTGGATGGTGATGAGTCAGACATCCTGTAACCGGTACAACAACCCATCGGCAGAGGGACCCATTCGTCTCTCTGCTGGGCTGTATCACAGCTCCTCCCTCCCGCAAATGCAGGTGAATATTTACCTGGTGTTAAGCCACAGCTTTCCTTTCCTTCCTCTGCTTGGTCTTGCCACACCAAGCAGACGGCAAGACAAGAAACAAATACACAACTTACACAAAGAGCCTACACCTGGTGGCAGCAGTTCTATTTCAGTAGACAGATTACATACACAAGAAAATCCCTTTCCTTATTTTCTACAATTTCCCTTGTAATGTCCAAGATATATAACAGCTTTAACACTACACCATGTCAAAATCAATTCTCTGTTGACTGATTGCCTTCTTTTCATGGAAATGTTTCATGGGTTTCGTGCTCTTTTTCTTTTTTACTGGTTTTAACTCATTTATAATTGTGAATTTAATGGATGCTTGAGGGCAAACATAGACTCTTCTTATGCAATAATCTCACTTGACCTTCGGTCTATTTAAAAAAAAAAAAAAAAAACGTCATGTTGTCATCACTGATTAATGTCCCTCCAAGTGTATTAACTTGGATATGGATAATATAGGTGTTACTAATGATGAGAAACTTCCTCCACTGTACAGATTACTGATCCTACTGCTCTGCTTCTATTCCTATGTTGACACGTTTAAAAAAAAAATATGAATGTGTGCAGATAGTACGAAACACGTGAACCAAAACAAAACTGGTTCATTGATCACATCATGGACCCTTTCAGAGAACTCAACTGGGAGCTCTCAGAAATGTTTTGCAACAGTTCAGGCAGTTGTGACATCCTTTGTGCCATCGAAACGCCTCCTTCCTACTCACCTGGAGAGAAAAACATAGCCTGCTGCGTTTTATCCTGTTTTCACGTGACCATAGGATCACATTACAGCTTTTTTTCCTCCTTTTTATTTTATTTTTAACATGCTGTTGTTTAAACATATTTGTTTTAATATATATATATATATATTTTTTTTACAAACATGTTATTAGCCTATATTATTATTAATATTTACAGTCTTAGGTTATTACACATTTTTACGTCTCTTATTTTTAGCCATCTCATAAAGACGGTAAGTCCTTTGAAGTTTCGGTTAGATGCTGTCTCCTCAACTATACGTTCATTCAAGTCGCGCCATAACACGCTCATTGTTTTGACTCCATTACTTGAAGGCTGTCACTTTTTGTTATGCAGCACTTCTTCTCCGAGGAAAGTTCAGTTTGTTTGCAAACAAAGAGGAGCCACGTGGAGAACTACATGGCGTTGGGATATGTAGTCGCGTTGAGCAAACGAGAAGACGCAACAAGTTGAACTGAACTCAATTACCCACAATGCAGCACATCTCGGAGGGGGCGCAGTGGGCTGGATTTTTTTTTTTTTTCTCTTGACAAGTATATATAGGTTCTGTGTTTACTGTTAGCTAGTTAGAGCTCTTTGTTTTTGTCATCACCTGAAGTTCAAAATGTCTCGGCTGAACAGCAGCCTGCTTTGTTTTCCATAATTCTTTTAAAGACAATATAGTTAAATGTGCTGATAAACATTTTCAGGAGGCAGAGTTATTTTTATCCACACTTTCCCCCCCCACTTACTGAAGAGGAAGCTTCATCTGGAAACTTCTGGATAAGGTAACTACTTTATCGATTACTGTTGTTAACGTTTGTGAGTGCAACATTTAGATTTATTTCTTGGTTTCGGTGTGAATATAAATCTGAGAAACAGTAAACAGCTCGACCACTTTTTTTTTTTTTTTTTTTAGAAGTACGTTTTCAAGGCTAACGGTCGGCGAGAGGCAATTTCCTTTGTCTAATAAACGGAAACATTGAGCACCTGGTCATATCATAACTCATTTTACATGTATGTTCAGAGATTATCATGTAATAGTTGCATGCAATGCCTCATTGAAACACTTAAAAAATGTTAACATGGACAGAAGTGAAAAAACACAAGTGGGTTTTTGTCTTACGCCTGTCATTTAAAAAAAAAATATTATTATTTCACCTGAATAACAGCGATACAGAGGCTAACTTAATAGCCTACATGTTTGTTTTTGTTTTTTTTAAAGAAATCCACCTTTCTTATTTATGTCTCTAGATTTAATTCCACCTCATGGGGTATTAGTCACAGCATAAATCATCCTTTCATGCGTCAGTACACCTCTGGCTAAACCTGTCCTTTAGTTTTAACATGACTTGAGGAGGTGCTGCTGCTGGCAAATGACACACATGAAAAGGTTGAGCCTCCAGAGACTGAACCACAAGGTTAAAAATAACCTGAGATAGATGACCTCATAGGAGATGAAGGGGAGACTTTCTGCCAACATTACCAGAGGCCATAAGAGTCAAATGTATAGATCGTATAGCTTTTAGATTATCATGGGCTGTTTTAATATATGATTAACAATATGGATCTGAACAAAGCATCGCTCATGTTGTACCTAGGTTGTTTGATTTGAGAGCTAATATCTAATAATACTCAAGGTTATCAGTGGTTGTACTGTGTTTGCACCTGTTGATCAAACAATGATTATGTAGTTCCTGATAGCGTCCCTGCCCCCACTCGCTTTCAAAACAAACGAACCTGACTGGCATGTAGGTGGGCCTTGCAACCGTTGCTCAACTTCCCTCCCGCCTGAATCATCTTTTGTCTCACGCGGTTCATTGTGCTGTAGGGCACAACTGTTTTAAGTAGTGACGAGCTGCAAGAGCTGCCAGGCAGATTGTCACTGCTGGAGACCACTTCTCTTTAAGTGTGATGCAAGACATTTAAGCACTACCCCACTGGATTGAGAAAAATATTTGTTGATCTCACGTGTTTTCTCCTTCTCAACAAATGCTTTTTGCCTCTACTTGTGCTTTGTTTGTCTCAGGGGAATGTTTTCAATTTGTTCTACAGTGATCCAGTTAGTTTCCTTTCCCCTCTTATTGGATGCCAAGATAGAAGTATTATGCTGTATTTCATGGAAATATGTATTTGTAAAGGTACTGTGCTGCCTGCTCTCCTCCTCAGGTCATCCTAAAGTTAAGATAAGGTCTACATTGAAGGTGGCAGCCATGGTGTTGATTCTTGGCAGACGGATGAACAGGGAGGACTCTGGGATCAGAGACTCACCAGCTGTCAAACGCAAGGTGCTGACAGCAAAACAAAGCCTTATTACCTTTCTGTGATTTCTGTCTTGTACCTTTTGTTGCAACTTCTAAAAGTCACACATTTTATCAATGTTTTTGCATGTTGTTGTATCCTAAGGTATTTGAGGTCGACTCCAAAACTATAGCCGCCCAGGATGTCTTGGACTTCTGCTCTGGCGCGTCCCACTCTGAGGGCATCCTGCAGGTGTTCAACGAGTTTCGCGACTGCCGTCTCTTTACAGATGTTGTGATCAGCGTGCAGGGCAGAGAGTTCCCTTGCCATCGTGCTGTCCTCTCTGCCTGCTCTTCCTACTTCAGAGCCATGTTCTGTAATGATCACCGTGAGAGCCGTGAGATGCTGGTCGAGATTAACGGCATCCTGGCTGAGGCAATGGACTCCTTCCTCACCTACGTCTACACCGGGCGTGCAAAGATCACTACCGAAAATGTCCAGTTCCTCTTTGAGACCTCCAGCCTCTTCCAGATCTACACACTACGAGACGCCTGTGCCAAGTTCCTGGAGGACCAACTGGACCCATGCAACTGTCTCGGCATCCAGCGCTTTGCAGACGCCCATGCCCTGAAGCAGCTAGCTAGCCGCTGCCGCAGCTATGCCATAGGCAGTTTCTCAGAGGTGGCTCAGCATGAGGAGTTCCTTGACTTGCGAAAGGAAGAGCTGGAGGAGTACACTGCCAGTGATGAACTGTGTATTGGTAAGGAGGAGGTGGTGTTTGAGGCGGTGATGCGATGGGTTTATCACAATGTGGAGCAGAGAAAGCCCATGTTGAAGGCCTTGCTGCACCATGTGCGCCTGCCCCTTCTGCACCCTAACTACTTTGTCCAGACTGTGGAGGGGGATCAGCTCATCCAGAATGCTCCAGAGTGCTACCAGCTTCTCCACGAGGCCAGACGCTACCACGTGCTTGGAAATGAAATGATGTCACCCAGAACTCGTCCACGCAGGTAACTTAAATGTTGATGTACTAGTTTTGAGGAAGGAGACAGATAGTCTAACCTAGATGTTATCAGCAAAAGGGAACAGTGTCACCTATGAGCTTTGTCCTTTCACAACCTTTTTTGACTTGCCGGGATAGTATAACTTGCTAGTCTGATTAAATCCTCACAGTGTAATGTTTTGGTGCGTCACATGACTGATGGCTTGTTTGGTTGCGCACCAGTTCTTTTCTGTTGTCAGAGGACACAGATTTGCTTTGATCCTTTCCACTTTTCACACAGTCTAGATAGATAGATAGATACTTTATTGATCCCGAGGGAAATTCAAAGCATCCAGTAGCAGTCTGTTTGTCTTGTTGGGTTAAAACACCTATTACACCGCAAAGTTCATTGTGAGATAGGAAAACATGTCATTTTTAGCATTAAGTGGATCTTTAATCCCACATTGTATTGCTTGAGGTTATGGCTTGCATATGAACCTGGTGCCCTCAGCAGCGTTGTTGTTGTTGTGTGTGTGTGTGTGTGTGTGAGAGAGAGAGAGAAAGAGGGAGAGAGATAGAGACAGATAGTGTTATTGTGCTGAATCAACAAGTGTGTCTTTGACTGAGGCTAAATTTTTTTAAATGGAAATGTTAATGAGGAGGCCGGGCATGTTCATACACAGACTGGTTGGCTGGAAGGAAAAAAAAATGTGATGCAAGAAACAGCAATCAAGAAAAGTTGACTCTCACCTTGCTGATGTGTTAGGGATGAAAGTGTTTACCAAACTTACTTTTATTTCCGGTCTTTATGTGTGACTGTTTATGTGTGTGTTGTTCAGTGTCCAGTTGGATGTATTGTTTTGGTGGCAGCCTGATGTACAAAAAACAATTGCACAACTGTCTCTGAGTCTTAGAATGCAGTAAGGGTTAACAGTGCTGGTAAACAGTTGTCTGCTATTAAGGCTGTAGTTCAGGTGTATTGTGTCAGTATCTAGGCAGATCTGCTCTGATCAGCAGGCCAATCAGGAGGTTAGTCCCCACACTGTCTGCTTCATTTGCCTTGAGGGCAAGATATGGTCCTGCTCAAAACAGATGCCTGGTTTTTCCCTTCCTTCTGTGTCTAGTTGGAAGCCTCTAGAATCTATTTAATCACAAAGACAAAGACACAAACTACACTCCTACAAACAGATAATCACTTCGCTGAACCACCCTACTGTCTCTTCTGGCACATTTGAACGGTTATATTTCCTGTATTCTCATAAATCCCATAACAGTTATGCCTTGTTCTTTATCTGACTTTTAAAAAAATGACATAATAATACAAACTAAACTAATGGTAAGTAGCACTCCTTTAGGAAATGTTTTCATTTCCAGGGCATGCACTGAACAGCCAAATAGGAACATTTTGTTAACATGGAAATCAGGCTTGAGTCTAGCTAGCCCCAAGTTTGTTTTTGTTGTACCTTTGATTGATACCTGCTTTGTTACGTGAACTTGGCCTTGAAGATAAGTGCACTTATCCCTGTGGAAACCACCACTCTGTTCCCTGCTCTTGTTCCATTTTCTACCCTCTCTAGTTAACATGTACATACTTTATGCGTCTTCATACCCTTTGTTTTGGTATAAATGTATAGACTATTTGAATTACTTACGATGCCTGTAATATCTACATTCCTGTTAAAAGCCGTTTAGAACATGATCTTGTGTTTATGTTTTTATTATTGCCAAAAACATTGTTGTTATTCTCCCGCATCACTAACTTGTCCATGTCTTTCTATCTGCCACCTCTTCCCTGCTCCACTGTCTGCAGGTCGACTGGCTTCTCTGAGTTGATTGTTGTGGTGGGGGGTTGTGAGAGAGTCGGGGGCTTCAACCTGCCCTACACTGAGTGCTACGATCCAGTCACTGGAGAGTGGAAATCACTGGCTAAACTACCTGAGTTCACCAAGTCCGAGTATGCTGTCTGTGCCCTCCGCAATGACATTCTAGTGTCAGGTAATATCAGACACATTATTTTACAAGCAATTATACAGCATGGTGTTATCAAGGCTTTAAAAGCAGCCAAAGTGCTATTCATAGAAGTATATATCAAATTTCAAATATAGATACATATTTCTAGGGTTAGTTCAAACCACAGCATGCTGATTGTCTACATGTTTAGAAATAAATCAAGTCAACCTTCTTTATGTTTTCAGAAAAAACGTTATGACTCAAGGAGGTGTTGAATGCTTAGCAACTTTAAATCTATTCCTAACATATTATCTATTTCACTGTCGTTGGTAAGATGCAGTGTGGTCTTGGTTTTTCTTAATAAGAATAAGAAGAACATTTCCCTTGGACACTCTTAACAGACCTTGTAAGTCTGTGCTCTGCTCTGCTTCTAATCCCCAAGTGGAGTGGCAGAAAAGACCGTGGTGGCTGTTTGCCCTGTGTTATTTTTACAGCTACAGCCTGTTGCAGTTGAAGGAAAATATGAGAGCGACATCTGGATCACACTACAAACTCAGAGAGGCCTTTATTGGCCAGCATAGTCCTTCCTTTTTCCTGTTGGCCAATCGTTGAGGTTGCCACCTTTACACGAATTCAACAGCTTTCCAGTATAGTCATTATAAAACAATAAGGCATCCCTATTCTGTTTTCGCCTTTGTTAACAGACTGGGATTTATACTTTATACTTGACCTTGAAATAAACTTAAGCCGGAGATATAACAGCTCTCATTGCTTCTTGGCTAGGCTGCTGAATTTTTGTAATGAGAAGGTGCCAAACGTGGCGTAAGCCTCCTTTTGTGAAAAACACATCCTCGATTAAAGAAGACCTTAGTGTTACATCATTCATTTTAGACGATGAGGTCAGAATGGAGGTAGTTGCTGAAGTCCATACAGACATGCTGTGAACAAGTTCCAGTTCTGTATGAGTTTGGATCTGGGGCATCGAGGTTAAGAGTCTTTGAGAACATGTTTTCTTGCATGTACTCTGAAAGAAGTTCAAATGTGCATGCAAGGACAGCTCATGTTCAAACATGCTCTATATGAACAGCAAAACGGTACTGCACAAAACAGCAGTTGAAGGATATAGAAAATAAAAAAATGAAAAGGGCGATATAGAGGGAAAAAATGATCTTCTTCCCTACAGCAAGAGTCTGCTGCTGTGTTTATACTTTTTTATGTTCTCACTGTGCCAAGTCCTCACGTGTTCGCTATCAATCTACCCTCAAGCTCTGGCTGGAAAAGTCAACACACACCCTCCCCCCGCCTCTCCGTCTCACACACATTCAATACAGACAGGCTATTACTTCGGGTTTGAGTTACTGGGATCTTCACTGCTGCATTTTCTTATGTTGTTGCTCCATTTGCCTGGCACATTTAATCCCCTTTTGTCAGCTTTATTTTTGTCTTGCACAAATTACATTCCCACACATACCTCCATTCAATCCGTCTGCCCACACTGGGAATTGCTGCAAATACATTGGAGGGCTTCCAGCCCCCAGCACAGCTGCTCTTAGCTGTGGTCTTAAATAGGACGCTCAATTGAGTATTCACAACCTCTTTGGTTTCGTGCAGCAACAGGGACTCCCACTAACGCTGACCTAAACATCCAATGAGATCCCTTTGTCAGAATTACAGTTACCGGTAACTGTAATTACAAAGAGTGAAGGAGAACTATAATATTTAGTCTAAATAATTTAGATAATCTAGATTATCTTTAGTTTAATTTGGCAACACAAAACAGTCTTTTTTCTATCTGACTCCAGAAAGAATGACTGTGAAAGATGTGAATCCTTTCCTTATCTACTATTATGAGCAGCAAAACGCTAGTGCTTACCTCACACATTACAAGTCTCGCATGTCATAGTCACATTTGCATTAGCAGTAAAACTGTTTGTAACTGTGAGCTATGGGTACCGCTCAGAAACCTGTCACATAAATCACATGTTTACTCCCACAGTCACAAGTCAAGAACAGTGATTAGCCGCATTATGAGCTAGTGGGACTTGACCAACGGAAGTTTTTGTTGAGAAAAGACCGCCTTTCATAGGTAGCATTTTTTAACAGCCTTTCTAGCCATGCAAGGCTTCCTTATAATTACACATTCTCTCTTTACATGTATTCTTCATGCAAATCTTTAGGAACAGAGGCCTTGAGGGCAGCAGACTGTGTGTCTCTTGTCTCTATCAAGCAGACAATTAAGCAGACATGTGCTGTCACTTGCTTCCTTCCCTTGTCTCTTTCTGTGTGACCACTGCAGTATCATTTAAAATGATTGCTCATTAATTACCTTGTAATACTCCCCCAACAGCAATGAGGAAAAGCAAACATGTACAGTACAGCCTATGACTTACAAGGAGGCGCTGTTTATTGTTAGGATGAAACACATGTCTGATATCTGTACCTGCCTGTCTGGTCTGTCAGCTAGCTAACAATGGGGAAAAAAACGTCTCTTTGTTCGCTTGTGAATACAGAAGAGGCCTAGACATCTTTGTTTATACTGGCAGGTTTTCTCTCTCTTTAACAGCTGTGCCTGTATTAATAAAACATCTAAAAAGTAATAGTAGAAAGAGGATGTGATTAACTAAGGAATTATTTATTTTCAAGAGATCATAATGTATAGATTGCTACTGTTCAGCAGGAAACTGCTCTTCATAGGGGCAGCAGTAGCTCTGTTTTTGACTGGGGGACTGAAGGATTTCTTTTTTAAAGTGAAGCACTGACCACAGGATGTAGTGGACGGACTGGTAGATTGACATTTCACCGCCAACTGTGCATGAGCAATGCAAAGAACTACAAAAAGCTTGGCGCTTCAACTGTTTTGAGGTCACATCACTTTGACGTCTGCTCCAACAAATGCATGTCTGTGCGTGTGTTCAAAATTTGAATTTCTCCTATCAGTTACCTGAATCTGAACCTGAACCGCAGGTATTAGTGCATTGTCTCTTCTTCACTAAGGAGCAGCGAATTTTAATGGAGAGCTGTGATTTGATGGCAGCACTGTTCTTTATTTCCATAATCTATCATTTTATGAACTGATATCATGACAATGTGATCCATTTAAGTCCTGGTGTGAAATACCACTGATTGACTCTGACTCTTCTGTTTATGTGGTGGAGTCTTGTTGGCATTTTTGTATAGGTTCCAACCTTTGTCAGTCTTTGGAGTAGACAGGTGTGTGTGTTTTGTGGTGGTTTAGTGGGGTTGGGGGTGGTTAATGCGATAGACAGGCGAGGCACGTGTCAGGGCTTGTTAGATATGTGTCTGGGTTACTCTGTGTAACACAGTATATGTTTGCCCAGCGATAACACTCTGTAGTAGTAGTTCTGATCCTGATTGTGGTGTGTTTGACTTGAAAATAATTTTAAAACTAATGTTTACATCTGACACCTGTGTATACACACTGAAACGTAAGACTAAGTGTGTGTGTGTGTGTGTGTGTGTGTGTGTGTGTGTGTGTGTGTGTGTGTGTGTGTGTGTGTGTGTGTGTGTGTGTGTGTGTGTACACGTATGTGTATCTTTAAATAGCCAATCTGCTTAAAATATGACTGTGTGTGTGTGTCAGGAAACCTTTTATCTGCTAGGTTAACTCTTGAGTTCCAGTTCAGGTCAAATTCAGATAGGACACTTACAGCTCTGCCCTAGTTAGGAGATAACCTATTACTTTGACATAAACACATTAAAGCTAAAGCTGTCTGTTCACCTAAAGAAGCTTTTAGATTAGTTTTTAACCTTCTTATTTACGTCAGATCAGCTGGAATAGATGATCACAACCTGAGCTGTAGTACTGAAGTTACTTTTGGATCTTTGGCTGAAAAACATTTTGATAACTTCTGTTGATATTATGAACTATTGTGAGGTATGTTTGTCCTCTGTTGTTCTCAGGTGGGCGTATAAACAGCAGGGACGTGTGGATGTATAACTCCCAGCTCAACCTGTGGATCAGGGTGGCTTCTCTCAACAAAGGCCGCTGGAGACACAAGATGGGCGTCCTTCTGGGCAAGGTGAGCCTAGATTTATAAAATGCAACTGGGCGCATGGATACCCAACTGTAGATGCCGCTAATCAGCCCCCCCCCCCCCCCCCCCCAAAGAATTCATGTTAATTTTTGTTTTTGGTTAGAATTTAGCCCAGCTCTGTAAAAAAAATGTCTTTCAATACATCTCAAAATATTTCCAGTGTTCCTGATAAAGAGATTACTGTTGAGCCATTCCTCAAGTTGCATGATATTTTGTGTTCTTTCTGCATTTTCTACAATGCTTTAACAAGTATTAACATCCATCTAACCAGACTTTTTACAATTCAGATTGTCTATAGCTGGTATCTTCTATCTCTTCTATCTATCTATCTCTCGACACATGGTTTCAGTTTTAAAGAGTCACATAAAGTCCAGTTTGAGGGCTCAGCTTCTTCCGCATAGCCCCAAACCCACAAGTATGAGTCACAGGCATTTATGTAAGCAGTTAAGATTCTCAGGAAAGCTTTTTTTCAATTTAAATTAGGTATGTTTAAGAGGAACATGAAGACAATAAAAGCATACATATTTACATATTTTTTATCTGGTAGTACTCAACCTACATGTAGGGTGCAAACAGGTCTGACATTTACACAGTGAAGTATTTCTGTAATCTGCTGGTAAGGTAACAGTATGTTCCATTGAGCTTTTTGACTGCTGCAGTTCATCCATGTCACAATGAGAAGCCTCGTCCCACGCGAGCACATACTCTCTTACCTGCAGGCATGGAGGAATTTGTTTTTTAAACACTCAAAGCCTTGCAAGCTTTGTCATGATTGATAATAACGTATCTCATCTTAGGCATTGACACTCATCAGTGTCAGAAAAGAGGCCACACTAGAGGCTCTCAGTCACATTTGACACAAGCTTGCTTTCCGCTCTCAACTATCTTCCATATTTATCTAAAAAAAGAGAACCTTTGACAAGGAGCAATGCTATATTATTGTAGCCGGTGACACATCCTTTTGTTGCCTCAGGGTTTGAAAATGACTGTTGCAAGCTCATCCCACACCTCCTGACAGCACAGGAGCAGGTTCAACAGAGAGAAGGAAGTTTGCCTTTATTTAAAACAGACATATAAACAAGTGCTTCAGGCACTGGGCCAGTGATTCACCCATTATACACACCACACATGGAAAATAATTCTAGAGTCTCTCCCTACAAATGTCATTCTCTGTTTTATCTCTTTCAGCATTTTCACCATGTTCAAAACAGTTTATATCATATAGCAGATACACAAGACCCAAACACTCCCCCGTATACAATACAGGTTTGAAAGAAAGACCTGACACCAGTTTGGTTGGGAAATTTGAGAAAAGTTAATGGCAACACGTGAGCTGTTCATGAATCCTCGATGACTGCTTCTACTTTAGAGCTGTTACTATTTAAAGGCTGTAATACAAGGATAGGTGGGCAATGTTGTTCGAGGTCAGTGGCAGTTTAATGGACCGGTGCCAGCAACTCACACTTCCAAGTTAAGGACTAGCTTAGTCCAATCTATCCTGTTTCATCTGTGTCTTTGCAACCGCACAAGCCTGGAGTGTCCATATATGGCTGCTATAAGCCGTTATAAGCTTGTAAACATACACTGGGTTTGTGTACGTAGGCCTAATTTACACTTACACTGTAAATATATACAGAACAGAGAACAGGGCTGTTCATGTGACTAAAACATGCTGCATTCTTTCACAAGAAAAGTCTGTCATTAGATTAAACATGGTCTTAACCTGTAAAATATTTGTAGATATTTGGTTTAGTGTTCTGAAATGTTAATTTACTAGAAAGACAAGTCTTGATTGCATAGCATTTACGTTTTGAGCATTTGTGGTTTTAAAGACTAAATGCTAAACATTTTGTACACTCGTAAGACCCGTGGCATGTTTACCTCCTGAAAGCTTTGTGGACTGTCATTATCTGTTATTAGTGTTGCAAAAGGCAGAACAACTTTGATTGTCTTGGTTAAAATAGGTAGAGCATGAACAGGGATGACTCAGGCTAACAAGACACTCACATGTGTGTATTGATTTAAAGAACATAGACAAGGATAAGCAGCCTTGGCAAGCTTTATTTACTTTGGCAGTAATGGAAAGACAAAATGTTCTTGTACTTGTGTAACAATTGTGTGTTTTTTAAGTTTTTAAAAGTCTGTGTTGAATTTGTATTTCTTCTAAACAAAAGCCGTCATGCTTTCGTTTCCTTGCCACAGAAACAACAAACACACGTGCGTGCATGTAAACTACACACTGGTCTTTCACAACAGTGAGGTAATCCACTGCACGCTCACACTCTGGCTATGAAAGTCATCAATTAACTCCACAGTAACTTCTGTTAGGAGGACAGTACTGGGAAAACAAGATGGACTGACATTGTTTCGATGCTAACACACAATTACAGAATAAACCAAATTAAAATGTACTTTTTCTGCACACTCGAATGCTAAAATGACTAAATCCTGCAATTTAACAAGCCAGACATTATACACAATAAATATTATACAGTAGAAAGGCAACAGCACACACTTTATCAACCTTTCTAGAGGGGCACATTCCTCAGAGCTCTTCAATCCCAGGAGAGACTCTTGTCTGAGGCCACTTCCTGTATCTGTCACACGCACATGCTTTTCTCTTCACTTACGTATTTTGCAGACACTTTAGAGTGGAATGGCTGTTTCCGTATTCATTTCTCAAGAAAGTTACTTACCATCGAAGTGACTAAAATATAACATCCAGGAGATTTTGTTTGATTTTTTGTCTTAGATTTCTCAGAAATGATCATTGTTATTACTCTTTCTATTGTTATTGAGCTAAAGGTTGCATCTCCTCCAATCAGTCCTACAGTTATCTTCAGGCTTCAGTTTCCCCTCCTCCTGATTTTCTAGCCAGTCACTTCCTCTTTCCAGTCTGTAATCTCCCCCTTTTTGATTTGCAGCATTGATGCTCCAGTTTTAAGTACAGGGCAATAAGGCTGAGTGTTGTAAACAAGCCTCAATAAAGAGCATGCGTGCATGTTCAGGCTTTCATAAGACCTCAGCGCTGACGTCAACTAAATCACTATTCATGGAATTTGCATTTTCAGTTGCCAAATCAGATGTTTCTTCACTGGCAAACATAAAGCCAGCCTACATTTGTGTCACAAGAGGTGTGCAGACCGTCAGTTTACTACTTCCATTCACTTACTCTTTGGCAAAAACCTAAGACTAAACTTGTGAAGGTGAAAATCCTTATCTTTGTCTTGCCTGCGCTCCTGTTGGACTGGTCTTGTTTCCATAGAGTATAAGCAACAAAAAAATAAATAGGTCACCAGTTGTTTTCCCCTCCCTGTTATGGTGGCAGCTGTTCTCATCTATCATGACTTTTTTCTCTCTCTTTTCCTCTGTCTCCCTGGCAGTCTTCCCCCCTCTCTCTCTTTCTCTGTGTTCTCATGTCTTTTCCCCTACGATGTCTCTCATCTGTACCTTGTGATCCCTGTGCTTCTCACTTCTCTGCATGAAAAGGAAACAGGCTATGAATCAGCCAACGTCAGGGTTTAAACCTTAAAACATGGTGATAAAATATGCCGTGAATGTCCTCGTTCAGTGTTTGGCAACTTGTGCCCTCAGAGGCTTGTGAATCACGTTTGGCTTAGTGTTTCTGTGACCGACCTACCTCGACTCCATGGTTTTTATGTGCTACCATCATAGAGCGGGGGAATGTGAGCATATTAATACAGTCACACTTTAATGTAGTGTTCAGTTCAAGATTCAATTTATTGTCACTTCCATAATGCACTCTCCAGAAATACCATTCTCCTAAAATCAGGCGCACTTTAAAACTGAGACACATTTTTAAAAGAACAAGACTCAATAGGACATATGACACTGAACACAAACCTGTCAAGAACCAGAAATCACATTCAAGAGCAGTAATATATATATATATATATAAGTGTTAAAACCATATGGGCTGCTTTTTCAAGTAAGTGCAGAGTGTCAGGCTGAAAAGAAGAAAGCCACCCCAACCCCCACTCCTCCATACCTCTGCAAACAACCTAGTGTCTGGATATCCTCAATAGAGCATTAAAGGGTCAGTTCACCAAACATATTTACACATTTACCTCACAGTGCCCCCATTACTCTCTGAGACCCAAAACCTTCACTGCTATTATTTCTCTGGATATTTTTTTATTGCAAAAAGTAGTTGAGAATTGTTTTTTTTAAAGCAAAGTCTTAGACATTGTTCAATGAAAGACATAGCAGCAAAGAAAGAAAACTAGAGCCACACTGTTTAATGGAGATGGGAGAAATCCTAACACCTTGCCAAATCAAACCTGCTTTGCTTAAACTAACGTGAAAGTGGAAATTAATGGGTGAACTTATCCTTCAAGGCCTGTAAAGAAAGACTCCTCGTTAAAACGTCTTAAAACATGGTCACCTCTCTCTGATTTTACTTTGTCTCTCCATGCTGCGTACTCCTTCGATCTCCTTTTTGTTATTGTCATTTTATAACATGTAAACAGAAACAACAGTGCTTTAGGAACTGAGATCAAGTTAAAGGGTTGTGTTTTGTTTTTCCCAGCATCCCCTTTTCCGTTTAAAAAAGGCGGTAGTTCTATTAATCGGAACAGTTGATGAATGCAAATTCTTTTTGGTTCCCCTTTTTCTCTCCATCCTTCTTTTCTTCTTTAGACACACACACACACACTCACACGAATGTCTAATCCTCTCTCTCTCTCTCTCTCTCTCTCTCTCCTTCGTACAGGAACAGCCTGAAGGTTTTCTGTTGCATAGGGTTGATCTGATGATTGGCAGTGAATAACCAGTAGTACTGCTTAGTATGTGATGGTGACACATAATGTTCTACAAGAAAGAGTTATTGAGCAAATAAAGATGTAACAACAATTTCCTAACAACCTTTTTTTTTCAAACCAGCTTGGAAGTATTTGTAACAAAAAATGTGAATTGTCAGTGGTTGCCGTTTAACCTGTTGTGAAATCAAATTATTTAAAATGTTTTAAACACAAGTGGCAACGGACTGATATAATGTAATATAATAGTAGTAATAATGTAAAAATATAAAATGGTATTGGAAATGAACAGACTATGTTGACGACACAGATTCATCAACACCTGCTGCGCCTCAAGGTGCTTTTGTGTTGTTCCTGAGGGTTGACGTGAGTGAAGCAAAACTCTGAGGTTCATGTGCTGCTGGCAGCAGTGTTTACAGACTAAGATAATACTGCTCTTCCGAAGCAGTACGTCATCTTTTTCCTGCACCTGATAAACTGGTTCCCTTAGTGCTGATGTAGAAACTATTGTTTGTATTCAGGAAGCAGTGAGCTAGAATCAAACATCCCTCTTCAAGTGAGCGTGTACATAGAGAATTTTGAAAGTATATTTCACACGTAAACACAACATGTCATTCCTTTAACACTCAAATTTCAGATTTCTTGGTATGTGTTTAAAGCTCATGACTTGTGTGGTTGTTTGCTTGCCCTCAGGTTTACACCGTGGGTGGTTACGACGGGCAGAGCCGCCTGAGCAGTGTGGAGTGTTACGACTCCTTCTCCAATCGCTGGACAGAGGTGGCTCCCATGAAAGAGGCGGTCAGCTCTCCGGCAGTGGCCAGCTGCGCCGGAAAGCTCTTTGTCATAGGAGGAGGCCCAGATGATGACACTTGTTCAGACAAGGTAACAAGGAAACAGATGTGTGCTTCCTCTTACCCCACACTTAAACACATAGTGATGACAGCAGAGGGGTTTTTTTTTTGGTCCCAGATTACCTGTTTTCAGTGATGATACCTTAGAGATTTAAGGGAGTTTTTGAAAGTACACCTTTCAGTGGGTTGACTTAACTTTCTGATGTGACTTCAAATGAGACTGTGCCCCTGGATTACAAGCCAATGTGTCTTGTCTGCGTTTGTAATTAAAACAAACTTTAAGGAAGAAATTTAAAGAATTTGTTCATGAAAGAGAAAAAGTCCAGCTAATCCACAATAAGGCGTCTTTTCTTTGTCAAACATCACATAGTAAACATTGTCAGTTGGCTTGTTTGTTATGAATCTTCTGGTCAGTCCTGATTAAGGTAGTTTTCACATATTAATAGTTTTTTTTATAATTTTTTATTTTGGGGATTTGTGTGCCTTTATTCTTGAGACAGGACAGTGGATAGAGTCAGAAACCAGGGAGAGAGTGAGAGGGGAATGACCTGCAGGAAAGGAGCCACGGGTCGTAATCTGAACCCGGGCCGCACACACTCTGAGGACTAACCTCCTCTGCATGGGGCTTGCACACTAACCACTAGGCTACCAGCGCCCCCATGCCAGTTCTTTTAAACGTTACAATAATTTCAGGTTTCATTACACATCATCGAGACATTGATACCAAGAAAAAGATTGTAGAACGAATGTTAGGTAACACCAATTCTAAGGTACTGGATAATTTGCCATTCGTCTGGAAATGCCAGCAGTTCCGATGTATAATTATGTTTTTACATAATCTTTAAGATCTTTAGTTTAATTTTCCTTTGACTTACAGTACAGATGGTTTCAGTTAACAGGAAGTAAACATTGTTATTCTTAGGAACCTAAAATTCAGTGGAAGCGTTTTTCTTCCTCCATCAGATCGCTGTTTCATCTTGTTGATATGTCTGTGCAGGCTAGAAAACACGCATCCACACGTAGAGAGTCAGTCGGATAAGATACATCACACCAATCTGCCTCGCTATAACTGTTCAGCCGACGCACTGTGTGTGAGTCTGCATGACCTAAGGGACCAAGAGGGAGACAAATGTTTTTCTGACATATCCGCCGCCAGCACCGAGGGGCCACGCGGCCTCGGGTGCGGGGATCTCAAACCGGTAATGATCCTTCCGCAGGTTCACCTACGGAAACCTATCATTTAGGCACCAGTTTTTCTGAACTTCTTATCTCTGTTGTTCTGGTTTATTGTTTCTAGACATGCTGATTAAAAGAACCGGTTTTTACAGAGAAGTGGGTGAGGGAATGCTTGGATTGGAAACAAAACACATAGAGAGAGATGCTTGTATATGCCAACAGCACAGTAAAAGAAAAAAAAAAAAATGAAGAAAGCTCATGTATTTTTTTCTTCTATTCAATAACTATTTTCCCGTCACATTAGAAATTAAATAAGTACGAGGATTATGTCTACCTTCTTTCTTATACCATAGTAAACACAACTAACTAGATGTAACTTTATGTCACAGGTTCAGTGCTATGATCCAGAGGCAGATACTTGGTTACTGCGGGCCAACATCCCCATCGCCAAGCGTTGCATCACAGCAGTGTCCCTAAACAACATGATCTATGTGTGCGGTGGTCTCACAAAGTCCATATTCTGCTACGACCCTGCAGAAGACTACTGGATCCACGTGGTTAACACCTTTAACAAACAGGTAAGAGAGAACATTTTAAGACGTGAACCTTTTAAGAATCCTGAATCTCCATGATCTAAAGATACAAACCTTTGACCCTGCAGGAGAGCTGTGGCATGTCAGTGTGCAACGGTAAGATCTTCATCCTCGGGGGCAGAGGAGAAAATGGCGAAGCAACAGACACCATCCTGTGTTACGACCCGGCAACAGGCATCATCACAGGAGTGGCAGCCATGCCACGGCCGATCTCCTACCACGGCTGTGTGACCATACACCGCTTCAACGACAAATACCACAAGCACTGACCACAACCCAACACACGGACCACACACTCACTCTCTGACATAGGAGCACACTAAAAAAAAACTCCAACTCTCTAAACTGTATGCTCTTTAAGCACAGCACACGCACAGCACAAACACACTTCTTTCCAACAGTACTGGTGAGCTAATTTATTTTCTCTCAGCATCATGTAGCAAAACTCATTGTGGTTCCCTGAATATTTTGATCTTCTTTACTATAGTTAAAGCCCCTCTGTGGAAATGTTTAACACTTGATAATTACCTCTTGGTAGCTATAGCAGAAGGGAAGTCAGAAAACTTGCAGGATGTAATTGTTAGTAACTGCACAAGGTTGGGAAGTTATGGGGAAGTGAAAAAAACACAAGAAAAATTATAGTTATAATGGTAATTATTGTGATAACTTTTTGAAATACCAAACATGAATATTTAGTAAACATTACAGGAGAATTCAAGCTAAATTGGATCTTGGAAATGAACTCTTAAACATCAGATAATATATCAATATTAACAAATTCTAAACTTAAGGTCTTCTTGACCTTTTTTTTTTTGCAGACCTTCAGTATTGCAGACCTTTTAACCATATTGTATATAACCATATATAAGAGACATCAATGTGTTTGAAAACACAGTTAAAAGCTAAATTTTATTACACTGCTTGAGGGCGCACTCACACTAGGCCCGGTTGCTCCGTACCGTAGCTGAAGCCCAGTTGCCCCACCTCCCCATTCCCCCGCTGGCCTGCACTCACATTGCTCCAGATCTAACCAGTTCTGAGCACAATTACCTCTCGTACATAACGTGGTAATAGAACACATGCATGGCTTTATGATCATGAAGTGTGCTCAGTTTACAAGACAGGCACGGTTGAGGGTCGTGGGCATGGTACGGATGGCACCCATTGAGTGCACCCTTAGTGTTTCAAAGACAATTGAACATACCGGTAAATGATTCTTAATGTTGGTTAATATTCCACTCTAGAACTGCACATTTTATAGATTTTTAATATGACACTAATTAAAGGCGGAACTCCTGATAACTTAATTGAGTTTTCATAATGATACTGTTTACGGTCAGGTATTCAGACCTACTGTAAAGTGAACCTCCCGACATTGTGCTTATGTAAAAACTTAATGTAACTACTCCCTTAGATCTAAGATACTGATGAGCTGAAATGATCACAGATATTGCTGATGAACAAAATCAATTCATTAAGACAAACATCAAAAAAATGCCCACCCAACCATGATCTGCCAGTAGAAGAAAAAAGCAATATTCATTGATCAGTGATGTCCTTTTTAACTCTTTTAATTGATGATAAACATGACCTGATAAAGTGGTGAGCAGTCAGACAGCCGCTCATCCACAGAATCAGAGGTTTGACGCCTCAGCCTCTGATACAAATAGCAGAGGCTGAGTCCTCAAAACATTTGAGCGTCGTCACTGTTAGCTCACTTCTTTTTCCTACCTCTTTGTTCACATCAATCCAATTTTCACCTGCTCCATCATCGATGTGTTTTTCCCCTTTTCCCTGCTCCGACTGTACCATCACCTCACATATCCTTTCTACATTAATATCTCCTTTTTTAAGCTTTATTCCACTCCATAATCATTATTGCTATTACTCATAACTGACTTTTTTATTTTCTTAAGTTATACTTGTTTGTAATTTTATAACTGAATGTTTACTGTACTATACCTAGCTTTAGTGTGTCTGTTTTTTTATAGATGGTAGATTATTAGTGTACTTGGCTTGCAGTTGGTTTAGTAGATGTGAGAAGCCTTTGCAGATCAAACTCAAAGACGGCTCAGAATAAGTTGTGTGCATGTTTGGTGTGTGTGACTTTTACAACATGGTCTGGATGTGCTGGAGCCAGGTGGATGTATCCGAGAATTCTAGTGTAAGTGTTGCAAGACTGCAAAGTTCTGTCAGAGGAAACTTTCCCACCGGCGGTGGCACCTCTCACCTGTTCACTACGTGTAAACATGTCACTCGGGGTAACCATAGAAACCTCCAGGTGTGTTTGAGTCTTTGCGTGATTACTGGTCAGCGAAGGGGGCGTGTGTAGCAGTGCTATTCTACGCATAGTTTCTGAATGATGACAATTCAGGATGTGGCTCATGGTCAGTAAAAGTCACCTTTTACTTCATTAGGTGTTGATAGACTAGAACTATTGCTGTGAACATAACTTTCTTTGTTTAACTTGTATTTAAATGTATTTCTTTCTTGGTTGTATATTGTGTTTTTCTGTAACTAAGAGCCCCAAATGTGCACTTTGACAGAATCCTGTTAAATGTAGAATTAAGAGATAATGACTTCTTGTTTGTTTTTTACTGTATCAGTAAATGTTCTTTGCTTTCATGTGACGTATGGAAGAGACACTAAAAGGGCCTGTCAGTTCCTCCTGTATGTTATGAGCTGTGTTAGTTCTGAAATTCGAACTGAAATATCAACAAAAATGCTAAAAGAAAACAATGAAAAGAGGAAGTGAGAAGCTTTGACTTCCCTTTAAGTGGACAAGAGGCAAGAAAACCACCTCTGGCCCACCGACACTACTTTGAATTTTAACAAACTCTGTGTAACTCAGGAGGCAAACAGAAGGAGGCTTACAGGCAAAGAAAGTTGTAAAGCAAAAGAGCAGGAGTAAGATAAACAGAGAGAGAGAGAATTTGAGTGTGTGTGCGTCTGTGATTTCACTGAGTATTTACACAATGCATTGTTTTGTTATCTTGATTTTTTACTATATATGTACAGGCTTTCATACATTGTTTACTTTGATAAGATTGTGTTTGTTGGTTTGTATTTCTTTGCTTCTTGTGGTGAGTTCTGGGACTGTTGCTAGGATATTTTGACTCCCAAATGCAAATGACGTGCCTGAAATCAAACTCTGCAGAGTTAAGAGTTTAAACCCAGTTGATGGATTTTAATGGGACTGCAGACAAAAGCCAAAGTGGATTTGATTGAAGTCCAAAGGTGACTTTGTTGAGGAATGTCAATGGATTCAAAAATGTGTGTGTGCAAAAAATATGTGGTTAAACCTAATCTTTGCAGAATGCTGCCCAAGTGCCTGATGAAAAAAGTGGGAAATGTAATCTTTTTATTTTGATAAAACCTTTACTTATTGTGTGTATGATGTGATATGATTTTTAACACCACTTAATCCACTGATGATCTTTGCCTTACTGCAAAGAGAGCTTTGGATTTTTATAAACTGCAGTATGTTGAAATGTAACGGTTCAAATGAGTAAGAGAAACATCAATAAAGCTTATCCTTGTGTATTACAACATGTGTCTTGTCCCATTAGTACATAAGTAAAAAATGCTCTAAGAATAAATTATTAACAAGGATCATAGATATAAAGGTTAGACCTTAATGTTAATAAGGCTTTAAAATGGTGTATTTGAATGCATCACACTTTAGTTATTTTCTGAAATGCCGATTAATGATGTGAAAACGATGATGCAGATCATCTTTATGTGATAGATGATTAAACTCTACGCAGAATAATGCCCTGATGATGTGTTTATTTTAAACCAAAGGAATTTTTGGCTTTGATGTGTAGAAATTGGATATTTGAGATGGAAAGCAGCTTCATTAAATTATACAGCTCACCCAACTTTTAGTGGGACATTGCTCTTTACAGTATAAGACGGTGTAGGAGAAAGAAATGACAAAATGATACGACATAATGGAACCAACCAACCAAACTATAGTTAATGAAGACATGACTGATTTTGAGCTATCAAGCAACAAGAGATAAAATGATGAGCTCTTAATTCTGCCTCACACTGCTGTTGACTCTTGTATTTAATCAAGGGACTCATCAGTCATGTTGGTGATGTTTTAACGAGCCATTGTGTTCAACAAGAAAACAGTGCAGTAAACCAACCAGACTATTTTATGATTGGATTAAGCAATTGAGGCGGCAATAACCGTTCACATGGCTCTTCTTGTTTTGTCTTATGCTGTGATTTATGCCATACTATGGTGTGGTTTGATCAAAACCACAAACAATCCTTAGATTCTTGTGGCACAATTTCTCTGCATTCACTCTCAGCAATGTAGAAAAAATTCAGAGTTCAAGAAGTACACATTTACACATAGACATGAAAACTATGTCAGATTTCATGTCATTGAATCTATTCATCTTTTTTAAGACACATTTTGAACAGGCAGCATATTGTTACTCTACACACAGTCATGCTTGTGAATATCACAAACCAGGAAAGTTACAGACCACAGTGGTTGTGAGAGTAAGTGCTCGGAATTTCACAAAAAGGATAGATTCCTCTGAACAGGTCAAACCGACCTACGGTACAATTGAATCATTCATTTTTCTTTTTACTTTTTAAAGGCATTTTTAACGCAGGTGGAGGCTGGCATCTTACTTGAGCTTTAAAAATATATTTAACACAATCAAAACAAACCACATAAATAAATGTGTCCCTTTGAATCAGGTTCATTCACTGCCAGGCTAATGCAAGGTATAGTCTATAAAATAGCTTTTTTCAACCATCTAGGTGGTTGCTTTTTACGTGTTGCTAATTTTGTGGTAAGTTTCATGTTTAACCATGTGCATAGATAAAGTGTTGTCAAAGATGAAATGGTAATGATGCAGGGAAAGTGGGGACTGAGTGAAGCACGTACACACCATAGACTGGTATGCACGTCCCATGCAGATGATGGTAGGCATGTGGAACTGATCCCATTCCTGATCCTCAAATATTTCTCTTAAGACAGCAATGCACTTTTGTTTTAACCAGAATTGTAGCTTTGTCTTTTGTTCCTATAAATATGAACACATCTTTAAGTTTTGCAAGCACTGTCTGGTTGACTGCTATAATTTACAAAGCCAACACGACATGATGGCCAGTGGCGGTTGTAGACCACTTTAACTGAGGGGGCCAAACTGGGGCCAGTTGTTTTGTCACAGGGGAACATTAAACCCAGGTGAAAAATAGATAAAGATAATCGCTTTAAAATAGATATATATATTATGCCAAATTATAGCGCACAACATAAAATACCATGATTTATATTTGTTTCAGTAACAGTATTTAATACTAGATTGTGAGTCTGGTTGTTGTGTCAATTACTGTGTACAGTATGTGTTATTATGGGGGGCTCTTCCTTTTGGAGGGGTGGCCACAGGGGGGGACCAATCTCAGTGTTACAGGGGCACTGGCCCCTGTTGGCCCCTGCCTAGAACCTCCCATGATGATGGGGAACAAGTTCCTGATGAGCACATTATCGTATATTCTGCCATAATCATATGATTTCTTGAATAATTTCCATTGAGTCTGACAAAAAAACAATAAATGCCTCTAGTTTTCTTGTGCCATTTGTCATACAACCATGCAGTTGAACTAATTTGATTTGATGAAATTGTTCAGATGTGATGGGGTTATATTATAGGGTGACATACCTCCACTGCTATTTCATTCCATTGTTATGCTGATGACACTCAAATATACCTAAAAACAAATCAAACCCCCTCTGCACCCCTGCCATCATTGACACTGACCACCTGCCTGGAGGAGATAGAGGCGTGGATGAAGAACAACTTTCTCAAATTAAACAGCTCCAAAACAGAAGCTATTCTACTTGGCACCCCACACCAGATCAGGTCATCCCCCATAACCACCATCACCTTTTCTGGCCAAGTCATCCACCTCTCTCCAACCGTCACAAATTTCGGCATCAAAATGGACCCTCAACGGAAATCTGAAGCCCACAAACATCTGTGCAAAAACTAATTCTACAACCTCAGAAACATTGCCAAACTCCATCCTACACTCTCCCTCTCAGATACTGAGAAACTCGTCCACGCCTTTGTCTCCTCCAGGCTGGACTACTGCAACGCACTCCTCATCGGAATCCCTAGCAAGAGCCTCCAGAAGCTCCAACATGTCCAAAACAGCGCTGCTAGGGTCCTGATGAGGGTGCTAAATATGAACACATCACACCCATCCTTCAGACACTACACTGGCTCCCTATTTCATTCAGGATTCAATACAAAGTCACCCTTCTCACCTACCAGTGCACCCATGGAAATGCCCCCCTCTATCTCAAAGAACTCCTCACCCCACAATCCTCCACACTAAGCCTCCGCTCTGGAAACACCAACCTCCTCCATCCCCCCCCCCCCTCCCAGGACTAAACTCCACACCATGGGTGAGCGGGCCTTTCTGCTCCTCTGCTCCACAGTCTGTGGAACGCTCTCCCCGAGCAGCTGAGGGCCCCACAGTCTGCTGACGCTTTTAAAAGGGCCCTAAAAACCCACCTTTTTAACAAAGCCTTCTGCTTGTGTTTTAATTTCGTTAGTTGCTTAGTTGATTAAATTTGTTTTTATTTCTATTTTATTTTTCTTCCTGTAGCACTTTGAGATTTTTTTTGCAAAAATGTAAAGTGCGTTACAAATGAAATGTATTATTATTATTATTATTATTATTATTATTATCATTATTATTATTATTATTATCGTTATTATCATTATTATTATCATTATTATTATTATCATTATTATTGTTATTATTATTATTATTATTATTATTATTATTATTATTATTATTATTAAGTGTAAACAGCTCTGTCTGGACACGACATATTTTATGTTTGATCATCTAATCACTCATCCTTTTAGTAGAAATCAAGGTGATAATGTGACATATTGACAGAGCATGTGTGTTGTAGAATAGTGGAGCCTGGCGGCTGTTTGACAGATGTGCAGGACAAACCATCCACTCTTTAGCTTTGTTGTCCACATCGAGATTTAACAATTTACTAAAACACAAGTGTGCACGTTTAATATAAAAAAGCAAAGGATATGCTCTGACTGAATTAAACACGCCACTAAAGAGAGACATTGCTCTGCGGCACAAGTCACTCCTGTAAGTTTGCATTTTAAACAGATTGTGTCGGTGTAACTAAAAGTGTGCTAATGTTAGCAAACTTAGCAAACAAGGATAGCTAACGTTATAGTGCCCGGCTGTTTGAAAAAGCACGGATACCTCTTGGCGTGAGAGCCTGTCCGTTTTCTAAATGTCGTCCTTGTATCTTAAACAAGCTTAACTGAAGAGGTTTGTGAAAGGTAAAGAATGGGAAAACGGGTTTAAGTAGTAGTGGTAGGTTAGCATGGCAAGCTAGCCACCCTTGCTGAACTTAACGATGGGCATTAGCAGCTTCTCTGCTAACCAGCTAATTAAATGCTAACCACAACTTGGAGAATAGATTGTACCCTGTTCACTGTCTTTTTTGTTTGTTCATATATTCTACTTAACAGGCAACCATGTCGGGAGTTAAAAGGAAAATAGAGGGCAATGACCCCGACTATGATGACATTTCGCTGGTGCAAAATAATAAAAGAAACAAAGCTGCTGAACATAATGGTGAGTAGAAAAGAGCAGAAAAGCTGCACAGCTGCTGTACAATGATGTGACAGCTCACACGTGGTTGGACTCTGGTGATTTCCTTTGCTGTAATATGTTTTCCTCATGTTTTGTCAGCCCGAGAAGCAACAGTACAGAAGATAGACTCGATCATAAGGGAGCAGTTTTCTTTGGAGATGAAGAATAAAGAGCATGAGATAGATGTCATAAGTCTGGTATGTATTGTGATATCTCTTCTTTTCATTAAACCTTATGTCACTTGTTTTGTCTCAGTTTTTTTTTGGGGGGGAAATGTGTTGATCCAAAAATACACTTTCAGATGTTTTGTTTATAAAGCAAAGTGTTGTTTTTTCAGAGACTCAATGAAGCCAGGAGGATGATGGACAAGCTAAGGGCTTGCATAGTGGCCAATTACTATGCCAATGCTGGCGTTACAAAGCTTTCAGAGGTAAAAGCATGCGACATGTCTATATGCTGAAAACTGCCACCTGTTAAGGCAATAGCACAGTGAAGCAGAAGTAACCGTCCGCCTTTCTTTTTCTCTGTTTAATCCTAGCATTCTACCAAGAGCGACCCTGCCGTGTTGAACCATCCAGCCATCCGCCGGTTCCTGGAGTCTCCTTCCCGTTCTTCTTCCCCTCTCAACCAGGGTTCTGAGACTCCTTCTCTGGCCCACTCAGAGTCCGAGTCCCTCTCACAGCAAGGTGACGGTGCTGATGTAGAAGGAGAGGGCTCATGGAGAGAGGACGGCAGCAGGCAGGAGCGCAGACCTGGACGCAATACAGGCAAGGTGAGTACGCTGATGATGGTCTGAATAATTCATAAACGCAAAGCGAGTATCAGTTTAAATCTTTCATATATTTGTCTTACAATGCTTGTGTTATGTTTTTGTTACTTGTTGTAGGACACATTTGGTGTGCCAATGTCCGTTGGTGCGGAGCAGAGGGTGACCTACCATACTACTGGGAATGAGGCCTCTAGACTCTATGCAAAGAAGACAATCGTTGTCGGAAATGTGTCCAAGTATGTACAAAAAAAACTAAGCAAAAGTATGAGAAACTCAGTCATATTTTTGACGTTGTTAGTGGTTGACCAAGTATTTCCAATAGAGAGATTAATAGGAGCCTAATGAAAGTCATGAGTAGGTTTCAATTGGCATCACATTTCCTTTTTTTGTCCCTTATATTATTACAATTTAAGTTAAAAGGATTACAGATCACAAAAATACTTTTCTTAATTTTAAACAAATCATAGGTCAGAATGACTAAAATCCTGAAGTATGTAATTCTTAAAAATCACTTTAATTCTCCGAAAACCATGACTATGGTAGCAACCATATCTGCTGGTAGCAGCACTCCCAAGGAGTCCTTTAAAAAGTTTGACAATATACGTGAAAATTATAAAAGAGCTACGAGCCATAACATGTCCCTGTAGTTGTAATTTCCTGTGTATTCGAGTTCATTACCAAAAAAAATGTAAAGCAAATGCTCTGAAGTACAGTCGTGGCATCGTAAGTAACTTAGACTCCTAATGGCTTTAATGCAATTTATGAATACTTTAGAAATCTCTCTCAGGTAAATATTTTTATATATGTGTAAAAGGTTAAATGTAAAATATCTCTGTGTCAAAGTGTTTTAAATTCTTGCCTCTCAGTCAGAATAGTCTTGTTTTTGCATGACTGTGCACTGAAGACCTGAACCATAACTCATAATGTTTTTCTACAAGCCCAGTCTTGATCCAGTTCAAAAGTTCTGTCTTTCAAGGTTTATTTTCCCCTGGGATGTTGTTGAACCTGAGAAATGGCAGTTCCTAAAGACCCCTGGGTTCAGTGTAACATGAAGCCGATGTCAATTCTAGGAAGGCTGACTGACAGGGCCAATGTATCTCATGCACACTACATGTCTCAGAGGGGTAACTGAGATCATTTCAAATGGACTTCAGGGCATAGTTGTACATAACCAGAAGGCCTAAGCCTGACACAAGAGCATTAAAGGAAACGTGTGATTAGACTCTTTATACAGCTGTGTTGATGTGTTTGCATTAAATGTTCATACAAGGCTTATTGTTAATACTCTGTTTTTAAATGGAACTCTTTTCCTGTGAACCTTAATCCTCTATTCCTACCTTCTGTCCTTTTAAGTGGGTATTAGTGAAATACCAAGAAAGAGTGCTAGCTCCTTCAGAGTCTAACCTTCCCTCCAGCAAATTCTACATATCCTTGTTTAAACTCTTGTATATCCTTAAAGACCTCTTTCTTGCCCCACCCAATCTCCATACATTTTCTAATTCATTCCCGATTCTCCATCGTCTGAGGCTGATTCTCAACTCTGTCCCTCGTTCTCAGGTACATTCCCCCAGATAAGCGAGAAGAAAATGACCAGTCTACCCATAAGTGGATGGTGTATGTTCGGGGCTCCAGGAGAGAACCCAGCATTGATCACTTTGTGAAGAAAGTCTGGTTCTTCTTGCATCCAAGCTACAAACCCAACGACCTGGTGGAAGTCAGGTTTGTTACAGTCTGTTTTTCAAAGTTTTTGAGACAGACATAGTGTTGGAAGCACTACTCAGCTATACACACATTTTCTAAAAGCAATGCTTCCCTCTTCTTATAAATACATTGGTGTTGTTTTATATGTGTCCCTCATGCAAAATCAGAAGTCATAGAAACAGGGATGAACTTGTTCCAGTTATGTGTTGTCCATAGACACAGTGTTTATGTCTAGTCTTATTGTGTGTTATTATTGTTGTCATCAGTTTTTACCTGCCCCTTTCTATGCACCACATGCAAAGTTAAAAAAAAAAGAAAAACCAGGAAACAATTTTGGATAGGAACACCTGGGTGAGTAAGAGACTGTTTACCTCATCAGCTGATCTTTTATTCAGGACACATTTCAGATCTGCCTCCAAGTGCAAAAACACTGCTGATATTCACATTGTGTAACACACACTCAGCAGTAAACAGGCTTATTTTTTAAGCAGTGCCCCCTTGTGGATATTTAATCATGCCTGAAAGTAGAAAGTCATATTTTAGGTTGAATGACTCTTAACCTCAGTCTTGCTGCAGGTTATTATTGATGCAAATGAATAATAATCATTATCCAGATTGTAAACACGCACATGACAAGGCCTATGACGTTAAGTAAAGTGAGTCACACTACAAGTCAACAACAGTATGACTAATAGGGGGCACACCTAAATCATGAACAGGGCGCTGAAACTCGGAAAAACATGCGTGTGAAGTGTTTGCCTCAGCCCAAAGCACTGAAGTGTGTAGAGAGGTGTCACACAGCCTCGAGTTCAGCGATTAAGATGTCTCATTTGAGTTCTTATCCTCTAAAAGTTGCAAAGGATTTAAATTTTTCCCGTGGCTTTCGAATAAATGATCTCTTTCTTCAGTCGGCAATCCTTATCCTGCGCTGTAGCCTCCTGGCTGTTTCAGCTGACAAGACGCTCACGTTGCCGTGGCAGCAGCTCATAAGCTCCCTCTGACTGACTGCAGTCTTCATTCCTAGTGAACCACACACAGGCCCAATGCTCTCTGCTGAGTCGACACAGAATGTAGAGGAAGGGGTGAATGAAAGGAAAAGAAGGAACAAAAAAACTGCATCAATCACTGGGTTTATATGAACAGAAACATCATTTGCATGCACATAAACACGGCCTTTCAAGTGCAGGCAGTCGGATCACTTTCTGTTCTGTGAGCCTGAAAACCTTGAGCTTCAAAGAGGAAGAAGAAGATGAGAGCCCGTCTAGTTATTGATTATAGAAGATTAGTAACTAAGTCCGAGTCTGAAACCAAGATGGGAGCTTAGTTTTTTTTTTCTTTGTTGGAAACATTGTGATGCATCCTTTATGGACTTTTTTTCCCCCCTCCAGATGTGCAGTTGGATGAAGTTATTAAAGGATGTCTGAATGCGTCTGTTCACAGTGAGCCGCCCTTTCATTTAACACGTCGAGGTTGGGGAGAGTTTCCTGTGAGGATCCAGATCCACTTCAAAGACCCTCGCAACAAACGTATCGACATCATCCACCAGCTAAAGGTCAGACCAGATTACAGACCTCATCATCACGCTGTTTGTTTTCCTCTTCCCTTCCTTCCTTCCTTTAAACAGGGTTCTTCCACTCGCAGTGTTCACATATTCTTCTAATAATAGAGTTGCTCTCAGTTATCTAGTTCACAACTTTCTCTTACAATCTAAACTCTCTAGGTTTTAAGACTCAAGACTTCTAAAGTTTAAAGTCTTATTTTGTCCTCTTTTTTTTTTTTTTCAGCTGGACAGGACATACACAGGACTGCAGACACTTGGGGCAGAAACTGTAAGTTATAATTCCTCGCTCTGTTTCCTGCAGTGACTGTTTCTTTATTCTCTGAGCTTTACTCTGAAAATGTGCTATATCTGTTCCAGGTGGTTGATGTGGAGCTCCATAGGAACTCTCTTGGGGATGACTACATCCCTCAGCCCTCTTCCTCCAAGGTGACTCGCAGAGCAGCCAGCCCCACGTTGGCCTCCTCAATGCCCCAAAGTTATGGACGCCCCAGTTCTCCCATATCACATGATCCCAGTGCAGACAAAGGTACACCCAGAAACATTTATAATGTAATCATAAAGACATACATTTAAGCTGAGCATAATTGATTGTTTTTCTGCATCTGTAATTCTGTTAAGGAGTGTAAAATTGATTTGAGCTCCCATTTTCTTCCAGCTTTTATCAAGGCAGAGGCAGGAAGGTCTGCAGGCGGCCATAGCTCCCTCCTCGCCGCAGGTGAACGTACCCCAACCCGCCCCAAAGTCAGTGACAGGATCACTCTGGGTTCCCCTGGCAATTCAGCCTTCCAGCCGATCACAGCAAGCTGTAAATTGTCCCACAAGGACAGCCACCAAGCCCCACCGAGTCTCCTGGGAAATCGTTCCAACCTATCACCATGAGCTGCAAAATAGTTTCAGGTAAATATTTCCCTTTTGTGGCAGTTTCACCGTAATTCCAAAATAGTTTTTTTTAAATCACCATCTTCGAATAAGACACTTTGTGATTTTGTTTTATATCACTCAAATTTCAGAATTTTAAGCAGGCTCTACAAACTTCAATGTCATCTTTTTGGAAAAATAGCCCATTTCTTTACTTCATATTCTACAAATAGAAAACTGTTGACCAACTTGATTTCCATCTAATAGTCATTTCTATTTCTTCCTCATAGGGTCTCCCATCTCCACCCCAAGCCACTCCCCTCTGCCTCGCACCCCCACCACCTCTACCCCGGTCCACAGCAAGCAGAGCTCTTCGTCAGTGCTCAACAACCCTTACATCATTGTCGACAAGCCAGGCCAGGTGATCGGCATGACTTCCTCATCCGCCACCTCCGCAGGTACTCCCACTCCCACTCAGTGTCAAAGTGCCGTTTGAAATCGGATGTGGACCTGCAACAAAATCTAGAAGCAGTATCTGAGCTGCCCACATACAAATGTAAAAATGGCTGTTAGAAATGCACTCTGAAGCAGAGAAGATTATACACAATACCCCCTAGGCTTCTCTGTTTTTCTATCCCTATTTTGGTACTTTTCCTCATTTTCATCTTCTTGTATCCCCATTTTTATCCAGCTCATTGTACTCCATACCATCTGTTTATTTTCTCTTTCTCTTCGTCCATGCGTCTCTTTTTGTATCTGTTTTGTGCTCATAAATTATGACGTGTTTGTGAGCAAGCAGGATAGATGCTGCGTGAGAGGTTTCCATGGTGACTGAGCGGCTCTGTTTCATGGCCAGTTTAGGAGCATCAAACCCCACACTCCCATCAAGTTTTGTTTGTGGTTATATGTGTGTGTGTGTGTGTGTGTGTGTGTGTATGTGTCTGTGGTGTGCACTAATCTACAGCGCTGTTGATTCACATCAGCAGTGTCATGTCTTATAACACTAAGCTGCTCTTTCCTCTGTAGTTCTCACTCTCTCTTAGCCCCTCCCACACTTCCTGCACTAATGCACAGCTTAAGCAGATCTGCCAGCAGGGCAGGAGGGCTCTTAAGTGATGTTTTATCAAGCTGGATGAGGTTGATGTGGGTGTTGTGGCTGATTCAACAACCCTGGTATAGAACAGATTTTACAGCAGTAGGTAAAGAATGAAACTTCAACAGCAGAAATGCAGATGTAGCCAAAGCTCTGACTTTAACACCAAAATTCAGTGACCCTGGCAGGTAACAGTCACCTTGCACCACAGTGGCCCTAATGTCTGTGGAAAGGATGGCAGGAGCTGCAGTGACCCATGAGGAGAACGGTCATCTCTTTTTATATCTTATTGTGTCTTTTTGTGTAAATTTACTCCACAGGAAGCCCCTCAGCCAAACAGTCTGCTGCACATGGCTCTCGCTCTCCGGCCCCTAAAGTTCACACTGGCACCTTCCTCTCCTCAGGGATGAAGGTGAGTTGGCAGCATTTTAAACAGTTTCATTCCTTAACAGGGAATCAGATGGCTTAAAGCATCTCTATTTACTGATCTGTTCCCACCACTCTAAAGAGGGTCCCTTTCTGTAGTGTCTGTGTCTTTAACAAAGCAGGTAGGTATTAATAGAAGTCAGGGGTGCTATCTTCAGCTGTTGTGAGTGCCTTGGCAGGCTATTTAAATGGGACATCAGTCTGATGATAGATGGGGGTGCAGAGAGAATTTCATGGTTCTGTTTCACACAATGTCAATACTGCGGTGTAAAATCCTCCCACTCATGCTCACCATCCTCTCACCATCCACAATGATTGAAATACGATTTCACTTGATATGTCTGTTTCATCACAGCAGCGTTCTCTGTAGGGGCCTCTGCTATAGCAGTAAATGCAAGCACATATGGGAAACATAAAAACATCTCCTTGATGAATAAATGATGCCAATTTAAAAAAAAAAATTGAGAAACAAATGTATTCTCCCAGCTCTGATGCCTATAGCCTCTTTGAAGAAATTAGGGGAACTTAGTTATAATTCAAGAATCTATCTCATTAAAATTTTATTTTTTAATAAGGAAGCAAATGTAGACCAATAAAGCAGCTGCAGTATTTGCAACTTGTTGTGGTTTCAAGGCACTCTGTCCTTTTTTTGTAAAAATTCTTGTTTCCCTGTTCAGGTTATTATTAAGCAGGAGCCTGGGGAAGTTTCCACACAGCAGCAGCAGATGGTTTCCACAGTAACCAGCCAGCAGCAACCTGCTGCTACAGCAGCTCACCAGTTTGTCGCAGTGAAGGGAGGTCACATGATCTCCATGTCGGCTCAGAAACAGGCAGGAGGGCCCGTGGGAGCCACAACTGGCAAGGTCTGACTTGCATCCTCCCCCCAGATACTCGCAAACTATTCAATGTTAAAATTTTGATATATTCACTATGATGTCAGAAGGAGAAGATACTCAAAAAAAACCCAACTTTACTCATTTCTAGATGTTAGGCATCCCTGTTAGCTCCACACTCCAGTCTGCGGTCAAACAGGTGGCCATCAGCAGCGGACAGATTCTGGTTGCCAAGGGTAACCCCTCTGTCTCCAAGGTGATGAGTGGGAAACAGGTTTTGGCTCAAGGTGTCGCTAAAGCCATCGTCAGTGGAGCAGGAAGCATCTCTGGTCAGCAAGCTGCTGCAAAGGCAGCTGGAGGTTCAGCTGGCAAGAGTGGAGGTCAGAGTTCACACTCATATAAGGTCACATCATGCAAAGGTTCATGTGGCAATGAGGAAGCACCATTTTTCTTCAGTTTTTGAATTAATAACTTAATACATTACAAATATATTTTCTGCACAACAATACACTTTTTCTGATTATAATACACAGACTCTGTAGTGTACATATTATTAAACATCATTAAAATGTATTTAGCCAACATAAACCTATTAATTGTTTATAATAAGACCAATTTCTATTCAGAAATTTCCATTACAAGTTCAGGGTTGTGTGCCTAAATATGTTTTTCTTTCCATGTATATCTTTAGTGATGGCCACGCTTCAGCTGCCAGCCAACAACCTGGCCAACTTAGCTAATTTGCCTCCAGGAACAAAGCTCTACCTAACCACCAACAGTAAAAACCCCTCGGGGAAGGGAAAGCTGCTTCTCATCCCTCAGGGAGCCATCCTCCGTGCCTCCAGTGCAGGTGAGACACCCTGCATCCGTTATTTATCTTTTTAAGTGCTGACATTGGGGAAAACATCTCTAGTGTTGGTTCATGCTTGACAACATCCAACACACTTGAGTTTATTTGTTACTCAGCAGACTTGTTGTAGACCAATGGTTCATAACAAGCTTGTGTAGCAACATACTGGCTTTGAACAACCCTGTAAAACTGAAGACCAGTTCAGTCTGAGAATTCCTGACAGGCCAGTTTGAAACTTGCCACCTCTTCCAAAGTGCTCTGTGAAGTTCTGGGACCTGCTTGTTTCATCTGCTTGTGTAATGCCAGCTCTTCAAGTTTATTGGAGCAGGGCATCATTATCAGAGTCTTGCAATATGAATGAGGATGATTGGGAGTTAATCGCTAAAGATTCATTTCCAGTACTTCTGGAACAGGTGACACAAACTGATAAAACATGGTTTTGTTTTTTGTTCTAATTTGAGTCAAATTGAAGGCTTGTGTAGTACATGTGTATGTGTTCCTGATTAACCTGAGGGGACCCTCTTTCACCTCCACCATTAAAAGTAGCTGACAGTTTGTTACTATGTTGACAAGCTGACTTTGTTATAATCTATGGCTGTTACGACAGATGATTTGTTAACTTGTTTGTCTCTAACATAGAAGTTTAACATGAACAGCTTTGGGGAAGGGTTTTAGACCAACTGGCACTTATACATGAGTGTGCAGGTGATTCAGTATCTGGGCTCGGTGCCCCAAGCTGGATTACTTTTGCCTTGACATTTCCCTTCTTTTCCTGAAGCTGAAGATAGCTGTATTAAAAAACCTTATTGCTTCTGGCTCCTAAAATTTTGGTGACAGAAAGAGAGCCACTGCTGAAGTGACTTACAGATAATGTCTGCAACTCTACCTTCTGGACAGTGAGTCACTGGTAGTCATCGGTTTCTTCCAGCAGTTTCTTTAATGTTGCACTTTAGAGCTAAAATGCCTCATGCAACACACTTCTTGTCATATTGAGATGAGATTCAGCAGCATCCCATTCTTTATCTAAAGTACTAATTTACATAGAAAAATCAACATTACTAAACGTATCCCTGCTTTAGAAATGTCCGTTTAAATGACTAAAATGAATAGATGAGCTGTGATTTCAGGTATAAAGAATAACAGGATTGTTTTTTCAGATTTGAGGCTGATGTGAATGTGGTTGTCTGTAATTTAGGTCAGCAGTCCCAGAGCAGCTCGTCAGCAGGCGCTGGGGGCTCTCAGACTTCCTCCTCTTCCTCTTCAAGCAGTCTGCCTTCAAACCTCTCCTACACTTCCTACATCCTCAAACAGACCCCACAGGTGGGTGGAAATGCATTCAAGCTATAGTACGAACATAACAGACAATCAAATTCTAATATAGGTATTTTTCTCTTTGATGTCCTGTGTTTTCGTTGTGGGTTCTGGTTTTTGTTTGATATGAATATCTGCCGCATGATTTAAGCATTGCATCATGTTCTTGATCAGAGCCTTTTGAAAACTTTCACATTTTCTTTTCAATGCTGAAAAAATATATGTTTGAGATTTTCTTCTACACAACTTGTGCACACAATATGCAAATGTGTTTTGTCTCCGTGGTGACTCTGAGTTTTTTGTATTCTAGCAGAGAGAGGATGAGCCTGGTGTGTTTTTAGTAAGACACATTCATTAGCGCTGCATTGATCCTGCAGTCGGCTTTAGAACAGTGCTGTCTGTGCATTTGGCTCACAGCATATAATGCAGAGTTTTTCCACACTACATTTTAAGTATCATTACGGACTGTGTATCCTAATCATCCTTCATATAACATTTTTTTAAACGTTTGTTATTGAATAAATGTCATAAATATCCTGCAGCAGCTAAAAGTATATGCCCCTGTGTGTACACACACATGAAGACACACCCACACAGATGTACACTATAGCATAATAGTGTTAACTAATTGTTAATTTGATGTGGTTTACCTTTACTCTCTTGTTAGAGTATGACCCTGAGCCTCATACTGTCCATGTTAAACAGGGAACATTTCTGGTCGGCCAGCCAGCTGCGGGTTCAGGGAAGCAGGGAGCCTCCAGTTCAGCAGGTCACGCAGCATCATCTCCAGCAAATGTTACCCAGCAGGCCATTCGGGTGACAGCTGGTCAGAAGGCGGCCATCCTGGCTCAGGTCAGTATGAGTAACAAGGCAGAGTTCATAACTTTACTGTGTCCTCAATAATAATAATGACAGCTGTTGATATCACTCCTAACTGTCCTTTTACTGTTAACACTTCAATCCAAGTTTCGCTATGGTTAAGAGCTTCAAGATATTCACTGGCTTTTCATTGGGTTTAAATTTGTTATGTGTAATCCATTACTGTGCCTTCATGTGATTGACAGGTGGTGGGCGGCTCCCAGGGTACACAGGTGAAGTTATCTGACGGCTCGGTGAAGACGGTCACAGCGGCTGCAGCAGGTCACTTGTCCAAGCCGGGGACGACTACATTGAGGATGACAGGCGGAGTCATCACTGCTGCTAGCTCCACCCCCAGCTCTGTGAGCGCTGCAGCAGCTGCAGCAAGCCTACAACAGGCGAGTTTATCAGCAGCCGTTATAGTTTTGTTCCTCCATACAGCTGCTTTTTTCTTGAAGTGATTTATTGAGCTTGTTTTCATTTGTTTTGTTTAAGTACCGCAGATGAATAACCAGTAAAAGTACAGTTTAAAAATATGACTTCCTGTTTCCAAGTAAAAATAACTAGTTTGACAGTTTATTTAACGATAATTTGTTCGGCAAACTTTATGCTTTTCCATAAGAAAAAAAAAGAAGTAGAAGAAAGCTGATCCAGTGTGTTTTCCAGTGCCATGACGACAACATGGCGAGTGCTTGAGTGAGAACAGCACATTTTTGGACAGACAAGGAGTCACAGGTCATGTTGTGATATCAGAAGAAGTTAAACATATTGAAGAAGATGGTTGGATGGAGAAGTCTTTGATACTGCTTTTGATAGTCTTTGGTATGTGATATAATCTGTCAACCAGAAGAAGTAACTAGCTGAAAGGGGGCAGATCGCCTCCTACCGTAATGGCATTGGACATGCTTCCGTCAATAAATGAATTCTCCTCCTGTGCTTGTATACTGGGAAAAGAACAGTAGTCCAATTGTTAAGCTACAACGGTAGCACAACTTGCTGTGCATGTAAACCTACTGGGTGTTGTATTTGTCTTCAAGAGCGAAGAGTTTGAATGTTGAGATGTGAGAGGAGCTCTTAGCAGTAACCACAGTGGTCTTACAGCTTCAAAGTCATTGGCCAGTCCTCGTTAACTTGAGAAACAGAAGCACACACACAAAAAAACCACTTCCTAAAGGCTACAACCCATAAAAACAAACATGTTTACAGTATGTAACAGAAAAAAAAACACTTCACTGCTCTGTGGATGTTGCTGTAAAAACAAGAGGTAAACATTGCTGCACAACATCTATTGGACAAACTTCCCTTTCAGGATGGTTAATCAGATTTTTAGGGATTTTAAGGAGGGGCGTAGTTACTCTTTTGTCTTCGAGCAATCCATGAAGTCAGTGACCTGAATGGCACATCTAACTCTGAGAGTGGCATGGCACTGAAAAACACACTGGACAAAGTAGACAGTAAACTATAACATGTACGGTATTTTGAATTGAGCTTCATGTCCTCATATATTTCTTATTTTTTAATAATATAGATAATTGTTATGACTGTGATGTTACAAGGAAAAACATGTAATACACACAATAGAACAACATCAATAATATAGAGCCCCGTTTGTACTCTTTTGTCTTTTCTGTACTTTTGGCTGAGTCAGCTGTCAAAGTGTTTCTGTTAATTTACTGGCTGATAGATGTGTATGTATGTTTGTGTGTTCTGTGCAGGCTGCAGATGCTGGAAAGTCTTCCTCTCAGCACCACTCTCTCCTGGTGGCAGCAAACCAAGCAGCAGTAATCAGTGCAGCTAAGAGTGCCAGTGCGGCCGCCGGAGGCAGCCTGTCCAAGGCGGCGGTGGCTACCTTGGTGAAGGGTGTTGGCAGCTCTGCCACCATGACAAAGGGTGCCACGAGTTCCACAGGGGCTGTGGTTACAGTTTCCAAGGGCATTACCAACATGCCAGTCATCAGCATGTCCAAGGGTGCAGGGGTGGGGACAGTGGTGGGTGTACCTAAAAGTGGCGGCACGCCTTTGGTCACTGGAGCTTCATTAGTTGGCGGAATGGCGGCAGGAGGAGGGAAGACAGGTGCAACTCTCTCTGGTATGCAGAGAGAAACCTAAATGTTTAGACTTTTTCAAGAAGCACTTTGGTTCATCGTCATATTTCCTTTTAATTTGTTGTGTTCAGGTATGTTGAAGATCCACTCTGGAGGATCCAGCTCCCAGCAGACAGTCCTAACCATCCCTGCCAACCAGCTCAAGCAGCTGGCAGTGGGTACAGGCTCTGGAGGGCTGCAGACCATACTAATGCCAGTGGGGAAAGGTGATTTTAACTAAGACAGCATTTGTTTGCACAATCTGCCTTATCATTTAGTTCATCTGATGTGTCTGTTTTGACCTAAATAAATGTGTGCATTCCTGTAAAAAACAACTCTAATCCAAATCACTTTTTGTAGTATATAAAAGGCAGTAGATAGATGATTTGAATAAAACATGAAGCAGCATTGACGTTGTTCGCTTTGTTTATGTGCTGCATTTTTTACACCACGTCTCTGGACACTAAATTCTGAAATATAGCATGTTTCTCAAAAGATTTTAAGAGTGTTATACTTTAGTAGTGTATACAGGATTGACTCAGTTGGTTCTCTGAACTGAGTTTGTTTTGACTATATCCTGATTTATCTCTGTATGATGCTCAAGCATGCTTCCCCCTTCTCTACCATTTTTCATCTTTAAAAACATTTACCTAATGGGCCATTGATCCATCCTGTGTATTTGTGTGTGTGTGTGTTTGTGTGTGTGTGATTTCTTCTGTGTATAGTGGTGTCTAAAGGCCCAGTCTCCAGTACTGCTTCTCCCTCATCCTCCACTCTCCCTGGGGCGACTGGAGCTGGAGCCTCCCCAAGTCCTGTCAGCCGCGCGTCCCCCTGCCTTGCACTGCCTCTGGCACAAGGTGAGAGGGGTCCACTTTCACTCTACCCACTCTCCTCACTTTTTCTATCTTTTATTCCCAATCTCTATTTGTCCCACTCGGTCCAAATAGTCTTATAAATGTGGCAGAAAAGTTTAATTTTATTTCGATGAAACATGTGACCCTTCAAAATAAAATGTAGTTTAATAGTGGATTTGTTGGAATTAATCTCTCTCTCTCTCTCTCGCTCTCTGCTCTCTCTCTGCTCTCTCTCTCCTTACTCAGTAAAAACAGAGCCAGGTGCTGGCACAGCTGTCACAGCTGCTCCGTCGCCCCCAGTGACCGCTCCTGTCCATGTTGCCTCTGCATCTACCACAGTCAAGCAAGAGCAAGGAGCAGATAACGCTGCACATGACCTGATCAAGTAAGAGTGATACAAATCAGCATGTCACTTCTACTGTTCTCCCCCCCCTTTTTTTGCCTTTTCCATTTTAACCTCGCTGGTTAATTTTCAGCAACATAGATCACATAGCTTTCAGCATAATAGTGGAGAGTATTCAGCTGTAGATATACTAGCTGTTTAAAGTTGGGTTCACACACACAAGCAGCTGCATCATTAACATAATTGTATGTATATTTTGACTGTCTGGAAGATACTGCTAGAGGGCACACCAGAGAGCTCAGGCTGTATACAAGTACCCGGATGTGAATTGAAAACAGACATGACGACACTCGAGGGGGTTAATATTGTGCTAATTATGAGATCAGAACTAACATCAGTAATCAATAATAACATCAGATCAGCTCAGACGGCTGATGACCAGTGGACAGAAAACACCGTCAGCACTATCCCCTCTCAGTTTCTCCAACAATTTATTCTGTACACAGATGCAACGGAACCAGTGTTTTTTCGGTTTAACAAGTGACTCTGTTCAATGGTGACTTTCAGCAGAATTCCTCTGTATGTCACAGTTACAGTAGCTGTTGAAAACAGAAAGAGTCCCCGCTAATGTCAAAATAATGTCAAAATTAACTTCTCAGATATGTATTACATTAAAAACGAAAGAAACACTATTGAAGCCACAGACGGATTTCGCTGGAAGTCACCAGTTTACTGGGTTACTCGTTTAAACGAAGCGCCAGACTTTTAGTAAAACTGTTTAGTTTTGCTGTTTTCCACCTCCGAAACAGAACTTTGATGTCTCTAGCTAGTTTGACAGGCATGTTTTGTAGCTGTGCAGTAGCAATGATGCATCATACAAATGTTGATTATTGTAGACTTGGTATATCAGCTTATCTCCAATACTTTCAGCCGTGTTTGTCCCTGCTGCTGTGTTGATTCTGTCACATCCCTTCTGCCTCTACATTTACCTGCCTTTCATGTCTCTACTCAATCTTGCTTCTTGCGTTAATTTTTGAGGCCGTCGATATCTGATGTACCAAACGGACGCAGGGGACATGAGGGAGCCTTCATGCATGAATGTAAAAGACAGTGCCGGTATATCCCTAACCCTAAATAATTTGCTGGTACACTGGACACTTGTGCTTTCCTCTTCAGCACCGAGCACATAGAGACCATGATGCAGCTGTTGACACATGTGGTGAAGAAGTTCCCCCTGATTGTGCCCGAAAAGAGTAAGTAAGCTCGCCTGCAACACAATCACAATAGATGAAGGCTAATCCAGTGTGTTTTGAAAGGTTTTAAATTCTATCTTTCTTTGCTCAATCAGCTGAAGACTCCCATCCATTCTGTGCCGCTTCAACAGAGCAGTATTATTCCTGGAATATTGGCAAGCGCAGAGCGTCAGAGGTGAGTTTTTGTTGTTTTCTCTGCATATGTGCACATATTGAATGCTGTTATTAACACCTGTTGAGTGATTACAAAGCGTCAGTGGAGTCAAACTGCTTATAAATCAGCTGTGAAGACAGATTTTCAACGAAAAATGGAGACCAGGGATCTGATTCTGATTCTGATTCTGAAGGTTTTATATGCAATTTTTTGATCCAGCAGATGTCGCCCTTGAGCACCAGCATGAAACTAAAACAACTTGCGGTGAATTGTTGTGTTAGCATGCTAATCCTAGTGATCTTTATTATGCTCGTATCTTCACACTGCATGTAAATTTACCCGAAATGAGCGTAATCTAGAAACACAGTTAAGCAGTGAGTACAGTATGTTATTTTTCTTTTCTCTAGTCCCTCAATTAAACAACTTTTATACGCAAGGGGATGAGTTGGCCGGCCGGCCTGGCGATATAAACAAACTGAAGATAGGACTCGGAAAGCATCACAGACAGTGTTACACCCATTGATTTCTATTACATTGAAGTGTGAAAAATCGCATATAAAGCCTTTAAAATGTTGACCCGCGAGACTTTGAATTTCGTTTTTATTCATATAAGATCTCAAAGATCTGAAATCGTTAACTAGTGGATGAATTGCACTCACTCTCTACCACTCGTGTATTCTACATGTCCCAGGTTATGCCTGTATGCTCTACAGGTGAAGAGAGTGACGTTACGTGTTACGTTCCTCCTTACAATGATTGTGGTCTGACTGTTTTGTGCAGCTGGTTCAGGCTGATTTTATTCTGCCTTAACTTAGTTTTGCTACCTCATTAATGGACAGCTTCCCTACACAAGGCGAGTGAATATGAATATAATGAATATAACACGAATCAAGCACCAGAGGAGGTTTGTGACCCTGTATAAACCAGCTCTCTCAGAGTGCTCCGTTTTGGTGTGTGTGTCTCTTTAAATGCAATGAGTCCCCACCCTGAGTTTTCCCAATAGACATCACTCCTACTGGGGTGGAGTCCAACGGTGGAGATATCAGTGGAGGGGAGGGATTTTTTCTACCAGAATCCCACTGTGATGTCACAAGTTGAGCAAATTTGAAACAGAGCATTTTCTCTGTGTTGTAAGACTTATGCAGACCACAAAGGACTGGATGGGTTTATTTCAAATTTTGTGGGTCTGTAGACACTTTTGTGGGTCTGTTACCTAAATATATGTTGAAAAACACTGTAAAAGTGGATTTGTCATGTGTCCCCTTTAATGTTTTCATGTCTCTACGCGACAGCAGCCGCAGCATCCACCCTTCATGTTTCAGTGTGAGGGGCATCTTCATTGCCAGTGATAATTTGCATTGTTTGCAGTTTTTTTGTCCGTGTAATCTGTCTTGGTTGTAATCTGTCTTGGTGCTCAGTGCTGGACACCTGACTCAGCGAGCTTTCTGCTTGCATCATGTCTTCCCATCTATCCGGTCAGATGTGTATCTATGCCTGGTTATCTTCTCTTATCTCATCTTAATGGGTTCATCAATAGCTCATACAGACCGGCCCATGTCTTAGCTGACTGTTCTCTTTTTCCTCTGCTGTAAAAGGCTCTTAGCTGAGACCAGACAAAGATATTTATATCTACTTGTCACTAATTTAGTAAAGGGACAGAGGGCTTTGCAGTTTTAAAATGTTAAAGACTGTGCATTATTAAACCATCCACATCTGACGGTTTCATATCATTCATATCTTCATGTTTAGCTTCAGCGAGCTGTGGCTGTAAAGCGTGTTGTCCAGGATGTATTGGACCGCTCCCCCCGGCTGCAAGCCCTCACTCCCCCCAAGACCAGAGAGGTGGTGCAGTGGTGTCGGCAAAGGGGCTACACGCCGCCTGACCTCGAGCCTCAGCGCAGGACAGACGACGAGTCCATCGAGGACATCCTCACGCAGATCGACAACGAGCCTGGTGAGTTCGTGAGCGTTTGTGGTGCGTGGCTTCTTCAAGATTTTATTTCGTGTATTTGCACTTTGACATTCTGCTCATTTTAGTTTTGGATCAATATTTTATCCTCTCCAAGTCTCATGAGTGGGTGAACTGCTTCTTCAGCTACCAGTGTGTCCAGTTGTGGTTTTTGCAGTCCAGTAGTGTTTAGGGGAGGCAAATGTGCAGCCTCAGTGTTTGTGTTACAGCAGTGTGTTGTTTACACTCAGGGGCTCCTCATTAATTCCATCTTTTGTCTGTAAAGGGTGAGAGACTGGGCTGCTTATCTCAGTGAGTCACACACTGGCTGAGCCAGACAAAATGATTATCTGTGTTTGTGTTCCCCTCACCCCGCCTTCTTGCACAAATATCTTGATTTATACACAGCCACACATGAAGCCGCTGAGTGAAATACTGATGTAGGGGCTGTTTCTGCTTTTGTGAAATGGTGCGTTTAATGTGCATTTGACTATGTTTCACAGAGTGCCCAACGACCCTGAGCAGCTGCGAGGAACTGGTGCTGCGGCTGGAGCAGATGCAAGCTCTGCTGAAGACCGAACCCGAGGAGGCAGACAACGAGATAGTAGACATAGTCACCGTCACTCCTCCCTGCCAGAAACTGAAGGTCAAAGAGGAGGAGCAGGAGGCCGACGTGGAGCCAAAATTCTTCCTGGGCCCCTGCATGTCATCTCAGTTTGTCAGTGAAACAGCTCAGCAGGTCAGGAGTGAACATTTCGGCAGTGTTTTGCTCGTGTACCTCTAAGTTCTTGCTATTTTGCAGTTTTAAGGAACTGTTTTACTATTTTTATATGATTCCTTGTCTGTCTCCCTCAGATTGGTGTAACCTTCCAGCCGGTTGAGGTGGAGAAGAACGTGTTTGCTCCTGTTTTAGAAGCCATGATTCTGAAGGTCAGTCACTAAAAAGGCCAGAACGGAGAAAAAAGTTGTTCTTTTCACAGTAGCTCATCATTACCCCAGCATACCCTTGACTACAATGATAAATTTACTATGTGTATGAAAAGTACACCTGCACAGTATTGCGTGTTTCACCTTGTACTGTTCAGAGAGTGGGTTTTCTTTGTGACTAATGGTGTGTGTGTGTGTGTGTGTGTGTGTGTGTGTGTGTGTGTGTGTGTGTGTGTGTGTGTGTGTGTGTGTGTGTGTGTGTGTGTGTGTGTGTGTGTGTGTGTGTGTGTGTGTGTGTGTGTGTGTGTGTGTGTGTGTGTGTGTGTGTGTGTGTGTGTGTGTGTGTGTGTGTGTGTGTGTGTGTGTGTGTGTGTGTGTGTGTGTGTGTGTGTGTGTGTGTGTGTGTGTGTGTGTGTGAACTGCAGGCTACCGAACAGTTTGCCAGTGACGTCCTGAGAGAAGCGCTGGCTGGGGCCTACGCCAAATCCCCTCAGAACAGGTCAGCCTCTTTTCTTTTTTTCTACCCTCTCTAACATGCAACCTGCTTAGTGCTCCCATTTTTTAAATTTCTATCACATTCAGCATACCTGGAGCTTGTCCAAGCTTGCAGATTGTTGCTCTGGTTATTTTAAGCTTTTTCACAACAAAGAAACATTATATTGAATAAACAGATACTCCAGATATACAGAGTCAATATACTGAATATATGAGATCTTTATATTTATAAACAGATCTTTCAAACACATCACTAAATATAACCATTCCACTGGATGACATCATTATTTTGGTGAAAACATGGCCCCTGCAGTTTGAGTCAGTCCCACACACAGTGCTCATTAGAGGGCCTAATGTGTATTAATCAACCCAAGCAAAGGGTTTTTTTAGCTCCTGTGTGAGTTCACAGATATCGTCAGCCTTTTTTTAAAATCATTTTGTATTTGTGAGTTGTTGACTAAAGATTTAGGTCTTAAGTTGGAACAAATTGACTCAGGGGGTGAGACAAAGTAGAAAGGACATATTTGGTGATGACTATAATGATTGGCTGTTTTGAAATGAAAGACTATTCAAAGACCAATACTTTTACAAATATTTTACAAACACAGCGTATTTGTGTAATATGTGTAATACGTGTGTATTGGGCTTACTTGTAAATCTACAATATACGTGAAGAAAACAAGAAAGTGCTAATTTTAAGTTTTGTTGCATTTTTTTTGCAAACATTAATTGTGTGATTGCCTACAGTAGATTGTTTTTTAATGATGTAGGACATCACTGAACTGATAGATTGATTCAGAGAAGGACTTTCTGTAACGAAGAAGCTGATAACAAGCAGTTATGAATATTCATACTCTAACCCATGATGTCCCAGGCAGAATGAAACACATTACCCTGCATAGAGTAATGCTGAGGATCCTAACTTTGAACCGTTTGGCATTTGCAGGGCTCCAAGAGAGATCTCAGCCATGAACATCCACCAGGCGGTCAGTAGCATCCCCACCTGTGACTTCCTCACCAACACACACATGGGTTACATGTCTAAAGAAAACTGAGGCCGAATGGAGAAAAGCTGCTTCTTACAGAGAATCCACCACAAGAAGATTCACTTCTGGATGTGGGCTTAGGTTGTGCAGTAATAACTCGTGTCTTGCTTCCAGTCACCTGGTCACAGCAAGGGCTCTGCTCCACACAGCAGCAGAATGACAAATGTTTCTTATACCTGAGGTATATTTTAACATTTATCTCCTAATGTATCGTGTGAAAAAGCACAATGGGACCCATGTTAATTGATTTGAGAGGCTGACGTGCTCTCACCTCAGAACAAGTTTTAATTATGAAAGTTTTAACTTACAGGGCTGAATAATAACATCAGGCAGCTGTCATGTCTCCCTGAACTGGGAGCAAGTTTACCAGCTAAAGTAGAAAAAGAACAGAAATGCAGCAAATGGGACACCCTGATGAACATGTGAGTGTTGGAAGTCGTGCAGAAACAGACGCTCTTTCAAGTTTCAGTCACCTGGCAGAGGTAATTACGGCTCATAGTGCTGCTGTCTGAGGCCCTTCGGAAGAAAGTAACTGACTCATGTTTCTAATTTCTAAGTTGCAGACAGATCATGTCACTGAGATCTTCATCAAGTGTGTTTGGAAAAGTCACGTCTGTTTAGGTCAGTGAAAGGAATCATACTGTCACGAGTTCAAGAAATGACTCTCAATATTTATCGTCTCTTCTTCATGAACCGGGTTTGGCATCCAGTTGAAAGTACTTTTAAGTGTTCTGTTAAACAGCCATAATGTATCAATCATGAAAAATATGACCAATATGAAATGGATGGTGTTGTCAAATCCTGTTTAGTTTTTTTAAGCTTGTATAAATAAGAACATTAACATTGCGCTAACAACAGTGAGTGTGTATGAATATGTGTGGGATACCAGTGGATGTAGTCAGTACAGAATGAAAAGTGTGTGTGTGTGTGTGTGTGTGTGTGTGTGTGTGTGTGTGTGTGTGTGTGTGTGTGTGTGTGTGTGTGTGTGTGTGTGTGTGTGTGTGTGTGTGTGTGTGTGTGTGTGTGTGTGTGTGTGTGTGTGTGTGTGTGTGTGTGTGTGTGTGTGTGTGTGTGTGTGTGTGTGTGTGTGTGTGTGTGTGTGTGTGTGTGTGTGTGTGTGTGTGTGTGTGTGTGTGTGTGTGTGTGTGTGTGTGTGTGTGTGTGATTCTGTTTAATGTGGAGCTTTGCATAATGTTAATACATGGATGATTGATTGAATGGAAGTGATTGTTGTGAGAGGTAGTGATGCCTGTTCAAACAAATGAGAGTAGGAGAACCTTAACGTTGTATTTTCATGTTTCTGTGCAAACCAAAAATACAATCAATATTTTTGTAATAAACCCCAAAAAATGCGGTTTACTTATTTACTGGTAGATGTTATTTGTGCAATACTGTCTTCAAGGTCACGTATAATGCAAAACACACTTCACCCGTGTTTCCCTAGTCTGTCTACTAACCCCCCAATTATGAGAAAAGTCCATCCTCTCCGTCTTTTAGCCTGCTCCACTTTTCAGAAAATGTGTTCTCAAACAGGCTGTCAGGAGATTTTCCCTTCATGACATCACAAAGGGCAGTAACCCCTCCCCAGGTGTCAGCTAGTTGTTTGTTCTGCCCTCTGAGTCTGCCTTCTTTTAAATTAGAGGGGCTTAAAGGCATGCTAAAATACAAACTCAGAATGGATTTTAGCAAGAAACTTCACAGACATGTTTTGGGGAGCTCTGAGACTTTTTTCAACTTGTTGAAAAGGAGGATAATACGTGACTTGAAGAGTAAAAGGGCTGTGTTACATTTATAAGCCATCAATAACAAAATGCAGCACAGCTGGCAGCCGAGACAACTTAAAGGTTCTATATGTAACTTATTACATGTATAAATCGTTTTTAATCGCCCATTAATAAGCGAACGGTTAACTGATGTGAAAAAGTAGATGTTCACTGTCTGTCTGTGTTGCCTGTATAAAAAGTATTTCGTCGTATTTTCTGCGAAAGCTCCAGGAAGTGGCATCTTATGCATGTTCTCAACGTCCTCCTCACTCCGCTCCATTTACAGAGATCAACAGTACAAACTCATCACACACTCCCGCTACAGCCAGAGGCCGCCTTCCACACACTTCTATCCGCCCTAAGAGCTCTCAAAGGCGGACAAACTCATCACACACTCCTGCTCTCAGCCAGTGCCTGCAGAGACTGTCGTTTGTAGGATGGAGAATGAATCTAATATGGAATCTGTTCCATGGAAAAAAAATGACCGCCTTAAGCACCATGGGCTGTTCTAGGCAGGGGCCAGTGCCCCTGTAACACTGAGCTTAGTCCCCTTGGGGCTTGGGGCCACCCCTCCAAAAGGAAGAACCCCCCCCTAATATTTGACTCAACAACCGGACTCACAATCTAATTTTAAATACTGCTACTGAAACAAATATAAATCATGGTATTTTATGATGTGCGCTATTATTTGGCATAATATCTATATATATATTTTAAAGTGATCATCTTTGTCTATTTTTCACTTGGGTTTAATATTCCCCTCTGACTAAACAACTGGCCCCAGTTTGACCCCCTCAGTAAAAGTGGTCTAGAACCACCACTGTTAAGCACACCACAGACTCCTTCACAGACTTTCACCTGTGTATGACCATTTACCTCCTCTGTAAACATTATGCTGGTAAATATCCAGTGTTTCACGGCCGATGATGATGCTCGTTTGTGTACGTACGAGCACGTATGACGAGCACGCGAGGGAGAGTGAGCAACAGGTTACTGGTGCAGTTCCCCTAAAGGCCATGCGGTATCACTACAAATGCAGTATTTTTGAAAGTTACATATAGCCCCAACAAAATATGTTTGTTTCTTCAAATCTTTTTTTGTTGTTGTTTGTTTCCCTTTTAAAAATCTAACATTTCATTATCTGTAAAATACTAATTCATAGCTATACCACTTTATTAATACAATCATCTGATTGACCTCGAACACTGACCGAAGTGTGATACAAGGAAAAAGGAGCCCAGTGACATCTGATAGAAAGTGTGAAGAACTTAACATTCTTTTATTGATTTTTTCACTTACAGTTTGTTTACTTGCTTTTCTTCTTTAACAATAGATTTACAAAATGATAAACTAAACGACACTTCCTCAAAATAGCAAACTAATACCAATAAAATAAATAACAGATTTTCAAGCAGATTTTCTAGCAACACCAAGGGTCTGCATGGAAGCATTTAATGACCATCCGCTTCACTCATGAACAGAGCAGACTGAACAACAAAAGGACACATCAGCAGGTGCACACACACACACACACACACACACAAACAGACTCTCACATACAAACACACAGAGCAGCCAGTTTTTTTTTGTGCATTCGTCACTGCAGAAAAAAACTATTTTGTTACATGCATATTCATTTCAAAAGCAACAGGGACAGGAAGGTAAAGGAGGGGTTGTCTGTCAGCACGCTGCAGCTCTGCAGGCTTCACAATGTTACTTTCTCTTGCATAGATTCTTGTGTTGGAATCGACTGAAATCATTCCCATTGATTCCATTTAAAACTGAAAAATAAATGAAAGAAAGTAGAAGGTTTGGGAACATTTCAGATGTTGAAGACCCTGGATCCACCTTGAAATATGGCAGAGGGGTTCGGAGTGAGCTTGGTCCTTACCAGATTTTCCTGAGACAGAGAGAGAGAGAGAGAGAGAGAGAGAGTCAGGTATAACAGCAGATATTTAATAGATCGCAGAGATGAAATCTGCCAGAGCAGCAGCTGTGTGTGTGTGCTCACACTAGAGCCATGAAATCAGAGGAGACTGTTCGGGCTGTGCCGTCAGGAAGAATCAGGGCTGCCCTCTGAGTGCCAGCAGACAGGACTCTGGTGCTATTTCCTGCATAGTGTTGCTCTACTGATGGCAGCTCTTCTTAAAGCCTGGCCAGAATCTATCAGAGCTTTTAGCCAATAAATAAAAGTCCTGTAACAATGAGTAGCCATTCATACACTACTCTATCCATCAGTTATTGACTCAGTAAGAAAAAAAAGGGAAGGCTTTTTATATCATTGCATAATAAACATACAAATCAAGATCATGAAATCAAACCCCTTCTCTCAAATAATTACTAATATTGTTATACTGTAGTATAACAGTCGGTTTACCATATTAGTGTAATTAATTGTCAGCTTGGACAAAAATCTTTCGAACAACATTAAAGGAGAACATAGATATTTTAAAAATAAATCCAAAAAGTGATTTCTCTTCAAGGTTTTTATCCAGTTAAAACTTGGAATAATAAAATAAATAATAAATAAAGGAATGATTTGTAGATACGATCCCACTTTAACTGTATCCTACAAAGAGAATATGTAGATTAATGTTGTGATGTTGTGTTTCATATGAGCACATTGTAATTACCATTAACAGCACTAGCTGCAGCCTCATGCCTCTGACCCATTAGCAGCAGTGGTGATAATCAGAACAATGTCACTCCATGTAGTGTCATACTGTTGAAGTTATAAAGAATAATTCTATGAAAACATTGTTTCCTTGTATCTATTCTTGTGTATTATTGCTGAAATGGCATATTCCTGTATTTTTAAATAGCATATAGTTGCACACACAAGTCAAAGACAAAGGTCTTCCTTTTGCACACAAAAAGTAGACGACAGTATTTTTGTCTGGATTTATTTTTCTAACCTGTCATCAACATCTCAGTCTAATGGTGATATAAATATTCACTTTATGAAGACCAGAGTTTTTTGTTGTTGTGATGGAAATGTTGTGATAATGTTATTATATTTGGTGGTATGGAGTAAATGTGCTGGTTTCTCTTTTTTTGTTGATGCTATTATTTAATTGCCATGCCAACGTGCTCCATGATGGGAGTAAAGCTACCGTCATTCAAGGCTATCTCAGCTCTCGTGCACAAATGTGACGTTTGGAAGCTTTCATTAGATAATCAGAGCAAAAAGTCTGCAGAGAGAAAGACGCTTCGCTGTCCCAGCAGCACTTTAGATGTGACTGTTCAGCACTGTGGGTGGCAGGACATGTTGTTCAGCAAGTCAGATTGGTGTGAGTATATTCACCCACTCCATCCCCCCCCCCCCCCCACACACACACACACACACACACACACACCCCACACACACTTTTCAGCTTTTGTGCTCTGTGAAGCAGCCAGGTCTGCCTCTTTCCTAAATTAGATTTGTGCCAATGAAGACTGCAACCCGGTGCAACATCGCATCACACTTTAACAGATAATCCATCAAACCCTCCCCCACCTCACTCTCTGATTCTCTATCACACAGTGTATTTCATTCCTCTCTCTTCATCTTTGGTACCCTCTCTTTGTCTCTTTTCCCCTTCAACTGTATTCGGTCTTCTTTGCTCTTAATACAATCCTCCTCTCTGCCAGAGTCCTGCCAACTTGGCACAGCTTTCTTTCTTTCTGTAGTGACGGGCAGCGTGGGAAAAGGGAAGAGGTCCAAGTGAAAGGGAAAAAAAAAGGGGGGGCGGAGAATATTGGTAGAAAGCCTGGTTTGGGGAATGTAGAAAAAAGAGGGGGGTGTGAAATGGGGATACAGAGAAAAACAAAAGGATGATGTGATTAAGAGACTACAGGGGCAGTAGAGAAACTTTTGAGAGGGAACCATTTGAATGTGTTTAATTATTAATAATAGCTACATTACTCGTGTGGCCTTGAGTGTACTTTATGAGACAGTGGCGCCCTGGACACAGACAAGCAAGACTCTCTAAACCTCCAGACATGTTCAGAAGAAGCCCCCGCGGCTGAGTCTCCTTTTGTCCCTTTATTTTGACACTTTTGTTGTGTGGTGGTACTGTGCATCCTTTAGTGTCTGTCGAGCCATTCTGTGTCTCTTCATTGATTTTTCTGCATCTTCATTTAATTGTTTAGTGTCTCTTCATAGCCAGTAAATGTCCCTTAATAGTCCTTTGGCATATTTTTAATTATTTTGCATTTCATAGTAGATTTTTTTCACAT